ACGCTCTTGTGGTCGAGCCACTTGGGCGTGGTGCGGCACGCGGAGGCCGAGCGGGTCCAGGCCGTTGCGGTCGTCCTGCACCACCAGGCTGAGGTGGTAGATGCGCAGCCACCGCTGCACGTCGGACCACAGTGACCCGATGTCGCCGTGGCGGCGCAGCGCCTCCGCGTGGGGCGAGGCGGCGAGCTCGGAGTTGAGGTAGCACCGCACGAGCTCGTCGTCACGCCCCCGCCAGTGTTCTTCGCGGAGGCGGTGACGCTTGCGGGCCACCTGCCACACCTGTGCGCGCGCCACTTCCCGGATCGCTGGGTCCTTCGAGTGCAGCATCTGCCACGCATGGGCGATCTGCAGCGCGCGGTGCATTTCCACCAGCGGCTGGAGCCCCAAGCCCCCGCTCGACGTTGGTGCGTAGAGCACCTCGTTGGTTGCCGAGCGGTGCAGGCGTAGCAGGTGCCGCAGGCCCTTGGCTACCACACGGTCGAAGCCCTGCAGTTGGGACTGGAGCGGTCGGAGGTGGCGGAGCGCGTACTCGACCTTGGGGTAGACGTAGGTCTTGAGCGCCTTCACCACCTGCCACGGCGCCAACCCCGACTGCATCAGCGCCACCGCCTCCCGCTTGATCTGCTGTAGCTTGGGCTCTAGCTGGAGACGGTGGCGCACGTGATCGAAGGCGTCGCCCACGCCGAGGTAGCGGTAGCTGTCGTGCAGCTTGATGCTTGAGACCTCCTCGTCGTGGAGCGACAGCTTCATGTCCTTGTCGTGGGCGGGGTTGCCGCGCGCGTTGCGTGTCACGGCCAGGAAGGCGCACTTGCCTGGGTTGGCCTGCAGCCCCGTCCACTCCAGGAACTGCTCAACGACAGCGTGGCAGCGCGTGATGCCGGCCGCGCTGTCGCTGAACACCTTGAGGTCGTCGGCGTAGGCGGTGGTGCATGGCCGCACCCCGTCCGCCAACGCGACGCCCACTCCGTCGAGCTTCTCCAATGCTCGGAGCAACGGCACCAGCGCGGCAATGAACAGGAGGGGGCTGAGCGGACAGCCTTGGTACACGCCCACCTCCTGCCGCACTGGTTCCGTCGCTCCGTCGGCCGCGTTGCCGACGACGAAGTAGGAGTCCTCGTAGATGTCGTCGCAGCGCTCGACGAACGCACGCTCGACGCCGAGCAGGCGGAGCACATACCACAGCATGTCCTGGTGAACGGACCCGAACGCGTTCCGCAGGTCGTACCAGACCTGGTACAGCCTGCGGCGCATGCGTCGGGTTTGGTCCAGGAGCGTGGTTGCCACGAAGTTGTGCTCGTGGCAACCATTGTACGCCCTGAACCCCTTCTGCGCCATGGGCAGCAGTCCGTTCGCCTCCAGGTACGTCGACAGCCGACGCGCCAGCAGACCGCTGTAGAGCTTGTAGATCGCGGTCTGCAGGCAGATCGGCCGCCAGTTCGCTGGGTCGGTGGGGCCGCCCTTCTTGTGGATGAGGCGGACGAACCCCACCTTCCACAGGGCAGGCACCCGGTGGTGGCGCCAACAGAACTGGAAGGCTGCGTGGAGGAGGGGGACCAGCTGCGCCGCGAACTTCTGGTAGATGTCGTAGCCCACGCCGTCGTGGCCGGGGCTGGAGTTCGTGGCCGCTTGCATGAGCTGGTCCTCCACCTCGTCCACCGTCAGCTCGTCCGTGAGCGCGCTCCGCCGCTCCTGCGGTGTCCCGACGTCGGCCATCGCCTCGCGGAACAACGCCCCGCAAGCTTCATCTGGTAGGAAGTTGATGCGGGGCGAGTTCACCGCCGTGAAGTGCTCGTGGAGCGTGCCCGAGTCGATGGGGCACGTCTCCGGGTGCTCCTCCGCTGCGGTCTCCGCCGACGCAGCACGCAGAATGTCCTCGACGCACTTGCTCTCGTTGCGAGCGAAGTCGTGGCGGAGCTGCTGTTGGCGCATCGAGGCGCGGATCCGGCCGACGCGGCGCCGCGCACGGCGGACGGCCGATCTGCTGGTGGGTCGCTCCTGCTGCACCGCTGCCATCTCGTCGAGGGCCTCGTCGAGTCGATGCTCGCGCTGAGTGCGCGTCACCCGGGGCGGTCGCTGTCGCTGCTGCTGCTGCTGCAGTGTAGGCCGAGGGTGGGGCTGGGCTGCTGTGAAGGGCTGCAGCACCTGCCGGATGCGACCGGGGATGGCGCTGATGTATCCATCGCCCGAGGTCCAGCTGTCTGCGTCTTCGATCTTGCACGCTAGCTCCTCCGCCATGGTCTGTAGGGCCGACGCCGCCGCTTCCTGCTCGTCTTCGGTCAGCTGCCGCAGTCGAAGGCGCGGCTGCCGCGCTGGAGCCGTCCCGGGCCCGATAGGCAGCGTGGGGAACGCCTCGCCGCCGTCGCGCGCGGCAATCTCTGCGTCGATGTCCTCGTCATGATCGCTGGCAGGCTCGGCGCGCGTGGGTGCGCACGCGGGGCGGGCAGGAGGTGCGGGTTGCTCGCGCTGGCGTTGTGCAGCAGGATTCATGTGGAGGCAGCTCTCCATCGCCCCTTGGTGCTCGCCGCACTCGGCCAGCGAACGCTTCAGGTCCAGCGCCCGGTTTGCCAGTCTGTCCGCGTGCGCGTTCGCCTTCCGGTCGATGTGCTTGAGCGTTAAGGACGTCACTGCGCGGAGGGCGTGGCGGACGCGGTTGCGCAGCTGGCGGAGGCGCGGGTTCCTGCAGGCGAAGGTGCCCTTGACCTGCGCTACGACGAGGTGGCTGTCCCCTTCGATCTCCAGGTGCGAGGCTCCGTGGTGGACGGCGCTCTGCACGCCAAGCAGCAGCGCCGTGTATTCAGCGGTGTTGTTGGTCTCGCTGCTGTTTGGCATGTAGTGAGAGCACGTCCACGCCACGGTCCCGCACGGCTTGAACAAGGCGGCACCAGCTCCCCCAGGTCCCGGGTTCCGGCGGCAGGCGCCGTCGAAGCGGAGCACCCACGGCTCGGGCATAGCCGGCCCTCCGTCGACGTCCATCGCATCGGGGGCTGTCGTCGTGGCCGCGGGGGAAGCGGGCGGGTCTGGGCAGCGCCGAGCCGAAGCAGGCCGGCGCGTCGCTGGTGCTGGTGCCGTGGGTAGGCCTGTGAGCAGGCGAGCTACAGCCGCTGCCCCGATCGCGCCGTGACGTGGACCCCACCGTGTTGCACCGGTGACCGGTGCAGCGGAGCCCAGAGGCCGGTGCGCTGCCGGGTTAGCAGCGTGCTCGTCGTTCACAGCCTGGGCAGTGTCGTTCATGCCAGGTCTTGGGCCCCAGCGCGTTGCTCGTCTCGCTGGAGGTGGCGGCGTCTGCGCCGTGGACGCTGCCGTCGTCATCGTCTCCTTCTCCTTGATCGCTGTCGTCTCCGTCTCCTCGGGCGCTGTCGTCGCTGTCGTCGTTGTCGCCGTTGCAGCTGTCACCGTCGGGGGCGGTGTCGTCGTCTCCATCGCGTCCGCGGTCGACGGCGGCGGCGCCATCTCGATGTCAGGTGCTGGCTCCACCTCGGCGGGGTGGCGGGCCAGCACGGGCGGCAGCGGCGTCGCCGTCTCTGTCGCTGTCGTCGCCGCCTTCGAGGTTGCCGTCGTCATCATCGCCGTCTCCGTGGTTGCCGGCGTTGCCTGTGCCTTGGTCGCCGACGTCGGCTGCGGTGCCGGTGCCGTCTCGACGTCCGGGTGTGGCGTCCCGTCGGCGGGATGGCGGTCCAGCATGGGCGGGCCCACCGCCGTCGTCGTCTCCGCTGGTGGCGGCGTCGTCTTCCCGTTCGGCGGTCCCTGCAGCTTCGCGGGCGTCCGTGTGGAGAAGGTGGCGGCGCTGGCGGTCGGGTTGAGTCGGCGCCGCTTACCTGTAACCTGCTGCGCCAGGCGAGATCGGGTGGGGGTCAGCACGGGGGGGACATGCTGACGCCCAGGGGTCTTGGGAGCGGCGGGCACAGCGCTCTGCAGGGTGGCGGTGTCTGCCACCGCAGTGCCGCGTGGTGCGGCTGCTGCAGCGGCAGTCCTTGCTGCGGCGGGGCTGCTGGTGGGGGTCGCAGCAGCCCCGATCCGCGTCGGGGGGTCAACAGGTGTCGGGGGTGGCACCGCTGCCTCCGAAGCTTGGGCCGTCGCGGAGGTGGCGGCCGCGGCTGGAGGGTTGCGCTGGGTACACGCTTGGGCGTGGCATGCAGCCACGATCCGCGAGAAGAAGATGAGCGAGCACCGGCACCCGCTGGAGAAGACGTCCTGGAAGCGGGTGCCGTGGTGTGCTGCTCGACGGTGCGCCACCAGCGTCGCGAGGTTCGGGGCAACGTACGCGCACAACGCGCACTCGAACTGGGCAGCGTCGTGCGCGTACGTCGCCTGCACCGTGCCCTGCTGGCCGTCGTCCGGTCCAAAGTGCTGGGGCTGGGTCCTCGGTGCTGCTTGCACGGCCGCGAGTTTGGCCGCCGTGGCATCGCTCACCTCCGTCTTGGCCTCTTGGTCACCTCCGTCGTGGCCTTGGTTCGTGCAGCGTCTGCTCCGGCGGAGCGCGTCGCCTGTCATGGGCTCCGCGCGCGCGCGTGGCTGATAGTAGCGTGCTGGGTTCGGCGTAGCGCGCGCGCGGTGCCCCACGGGGGCGCGCACAACAGGAGCTGCTGCATCTTGGACAGCTGCGGCTGCGTCTGTTCCGACTCCGGCGGCAGCGGCAGCCGCAGCTGGGCTTGGTGTTGGGGGCGCCTGGGCTCCACCTTCGGCGAGCATGCCGGCCGCCCTGCCGGGTCCTGCCAATTCGCTGGGGGGTCCTGCGGCGGTGCCGCGCGCTGGAGGGGCTGGCGGGGGGTCTTGGGCAGCCAACCGGCGCGCGTGGGGGTCCGTAGCAGGCGTGGGGGCTGCGCAGGAGCCGTCGCTCCGCGCGCCTCGCCGAAGCGCCGCATGCTCGAGGCCGTGTTCTTCGGCCGTGTACTCCGTGCCGCGCGGCGCACGAGAGGCCCGGGATCCTGGCATAGTGAGGCCAGGTGGACGGGGCCCGGTCCCGCCCGGCGGACGGTCCGCGGGCCCGCGTCCGCTCGCCGTCGCCGCGAAGCGACGCGAGGTTGAAGCGGCGGACCGGGCCTCGGCTTGGCCGCCAGAGGGCCCGGCCCGCGGTCCCGCAATGGGCGCAATGGGCGCAGCGGGTCGCGGACCCGTGCCCGAAGTTGCGCCGGCCAACTCCTCGCCGGTGCCGAGCAGCGGCGCCGCGCGTGGAGGGTCGCCGGGGCCATTTTCGGCTCCGGCCGAGCCCAAAACGGGGGCGGGCGGATCCCCAATGCGTAACCGAAGCCCTAGCGGATCCGCCCCCGCCCGGACGTCCGCCAGCTCAGCCGCCCCAGCCCCGTCGCTGGCCGCGCTATAGAAAGACGCGTCGCTGGCGAGGCTGGAGTGGCTGGCCGTGGAGCACTCGCTGTCGGTGGACGGCGAGCGCTCCCGGGGCTGCCAGTCCGGCCACCAGAAGCGCATGCGCCGATGCGGTGGTGAAGGGCCGAAAAAGGTAGTTGGATAGAAAAGATAAGTGTAGTAGTTGGCCTCACGAGGGATAGGTGAAAGCCCCCGGAGACCGTACCGCGATTGGCTAGCAAGCTAACCGAAAGCAGCAGTTCCAAAAATAAATGTGAAAAAGACCCCACCAAAAGCAGGGAAACCAGTTTTCACACTGATTAGAACAGATACTACACTTGATCTTAGCCAAAGGCCGAGAAGGTATGATTTCTAACAGTAGTTAGCATTTTTACTTATACACTTGAATGATCCGTACGGACAAACATTTATTTGATGTTATTATTACGGTTATGACCCTTCTGCATTTGTTAGTAGTGATGTTTGATGCTACTTGAATGGCTAAATTACGTTTCTGGCCCTAATCAAGTTAAAGTACATGTAGTTGAAGTGTCTTGCCCGTAGAAGCTCCAAGCTGGGAATCGGAAGCTCTAGCAAAAGACTCGACTCATGCATGCATACAGACGTAGAGCTTCATATGCAGCGAGGGATACGGTCGCAACGCATCCGCAGGTCAAGGGGGGTGATGATACATGTACGCCGTCCTGCTGTACCACTTGCACGGTACAATATCCGATCAAAATGCACCCATGGCAATATATTTTCGGTATCATAGCGCGATCATACGAACATCGATCCGTAGCTCATAGCCCAAGATGCTGCAGCAGCTCGTCGTGGGCGTCGTGGGCGCGCGCGACCTACTGGTCGGGGACCTGAACGGCTCGAGCGACCCGTTCGTGCAGGTGACGGTGCTGGACGCCAAGGGGAAGCCACTGGCCGCGGGTGGCAGCTTCAAGACGCGCGTGGCCAAAAAGACGCTGGCGCCCGAGTGGAACGAGACGTTCACGCTCGGCTCGCGCGACTTCGACCTGCGCCTGGCCACGGCGCTGCGCTTCATGGTGTTCGACTTCGACGGGCTCAAGCGCGACGACGTGCTGGGCGTCGTCGAGGTGCCGCTGGACCTCATCACGTGCGAGGCCGCGCCCATGGACGACTGGTACCGCATCGTCAAGGTGCCGGAGCTCATGAGCTGCGACGCCAAGGGCGAGCTGCGCCTGACCTTCTCCAAGCCGCCGCCGCCGGCATCGCCCGTGGGCCGAGGCAAGGCCAAGTCGGTTGCGTTCCGAGGCGCGGAGGGACAGGAGGGGGGCCAGGGGGAGGAAGGGGACACGAGCCCCAACCTGCTCTACGTGACCATCGACTCGGGCAAGGACCTGCTGCCCATGGACCGCAACAACAGCAGTGACCCGCTCGTCAAGCTGTCGGTGGTGGGCCAGCGCCACCAGACCGAGACCGTGGCCAAGACGCTCAAGCCCCACTGGGACGAGCGCTTCGCCTTCCTGCTCAAGGACGCGCACACGACGCTGGAGCTGCTGGCGGAGGACGAGGACCGCACGATCAACGACTTCCTGGGCCGCGCGCAGCTGGTGCTGGCCGACGTGATCGTGCCCAACGAGGAGAAGACGGTGACCGTGACGCTGCTGGACAAGAAGCTGCTGCCCGACAAGGACCGAGGCACGCTCAAGCTGCGGCTGCTGTGGGTCTACGACCCGAACGCCGAGAGCATCACCAAGAGCTCCAATAAGAAGAAGGAGAAGTCCATCCTGCAGTCGCTCAAGAAGTCCATGCGCGTCAGTGCGCCGGACGGCCCGTACAACTCGGACGACGAGCTCAACGAGGAGGACGACGAAGTGGTGGACGTCGAGAGCGACGATGACGTCGACGTTGCCTCGCTCCCCCCGCCGCCGCCCGGGACGAACAGGCTCAACTTCTTGGTGGCGACGATCCACCGCGTGGAGGACCTGCCCCCGATGGACTCGCTGCTGTTCGACAAGGGCGAGAACCGCAAGCACAACGGCGGGGGCATTGATGCCTACGTGGCTGCCGCGCTCTCTTCGGAGCCTGAAGACTTCGTCCGTACGCGGGTGCGCACCAAGCAGGGGCGACGCGACCAGTTGAACGTCAACTTCCGCGAGAGTTTGATGATGTTGCTGCCCGACGAGAAGTGCGAGGACAAGACCCACGACGTTATCTTCAGCGTGATGGACTGGGATCCTGTGGGCGGCGACGAGGTCGTGGGCAAGTTCGAACTCAAGGATGTGGAGGCTGTCGCCAAAGCTCATGGCAACGAACCCTTCTGGGTGAACCTGTACGGCGCGCCGGTGAAGGGCGCCAGCAACAACAGTCGCGCGGCTGTGCTGATGAACGAGAACTCGCACTTGGCGTCGGCGTACCGCGGGCGAGTACTACTAACTCTGCGCGTGCGTGCAAAGTCGTCGGATTTGTACGACGCCAAGCACCAGAAGCGACTGGCTCCGAAGCTGGCGATGGAGAACTACCCCGCCAGCCACGTTTACCGCATGCGTGCTCACTTCGTGCAGGCCGTCGGTCTCCCAGCGGCTGTGGCTAGTGGAAAGCTGTCGCTGGTGCTATCCTGCGGCCTCCACCAGATTGCTTCGACAAGGAAAAAGGCTGAGAATGGGAGTCTCAAGTGGAATGAGACCGAGGAGAGCGACAAGATGTTGTTTCCTGTGGACGCGTCCCAGGTGCCTGACGTATTCTTGTACCTGTGTGAGAAGGACGACGAGAAGCGTGTGGCCATCTGCTACAAGCGTTTCCAGGCCAAGGACCTGCTTTCGTCCAAGTTCCAGCGTGAAATGGAGTGGATTGCGCTCGTCGGCGATCGCGCGGTGGGCAAGGCTAAACCACGGGAGGAATTTACTGGCAAGGTTCTAGTGCGTTTGGGCTTCGGCCCCATCGAGACGGCCACAGCTCAGAGCTGGGACCAGAAGGAGATGATCGAGCACGTGAACCACCGCATGCCGTACCAGGTCCGCGTCCGCCTGCGCGAAGCCCGCAACTTGGTGTCACTGCATGCCAGTACCAAGACCATCGTTGCGAGCGCCAGTGTTCAGTGCTGGGACAGTATGCAGAAGACGACCGAAACTAACGGAGAACCCTCTACCTCTCCTGTGTGGGCGCAAACGTTCTGCATGGACGTGAATCTGCCGAATCTACGCTACGCGCCTCAAGTGCTGATCCATATCAAGAACGAGAGCCCGCGCGAGTACATTGGCACGGCAGCTGTGAAGCTTTCAGATGCCGCAGACGGCAGCACTGCGGATGGGAGTGTGACGTTGTGCACTTCTCAAGAACTCAAGCAGAACGAACGCCCCAAGGAGCCCACGCTCAAGTGGCTGCCCGTGGTTTTCAACGGCGACGACGTAGAGACTTCCCACGGCCAGGTCCTCACCTCAGTCGAGCTCATCCGCAAGGCTTTCCCGGATGAAACACTGCCAGATCCAGAGGCGCTGGAGAAGGCCCACATGAATGCGTGAGACCACAACTGGAGTAGGTTGAAGAGAGATGACCTGGAATTTGCTGAATGAAATGAACATGTTGCGTCTGCGAATTATAGCATGCGACTGCTTGTTGTAACTCGTGTGAGTGTATTTTGAACGCTACTCGGTACTGCAGCAATTTATTGTACGACAAGGTGGCGTCGACAAGCTGTGTAGAACAGCATCGCGCTGGTGAGATGTTGTACACGCTTCAAGAAGAACCCCCTCTCCAGTAGATACATGGGGTATGCCGCACCCGATATTTCCCGTAAGCAAAACACACATAACATGCAACATGCAACTCATACCATATCGAGCTTATTAGCTGAGGCGGTCCACCTGTTCATCTCCATGTGCCGCTGAGGAACCTCGTGTGCCAAACTTTCCGATTGTGCTGCCGAAGGCACTGTTATCCCATCGTAATATTTAGAGTTGGTCTTGGATACCAAGTCGTACGTCGCGATACTTTGCATGAACGCAACTGTAGAGCTGCGAGGGCTACCTATCGCTGCCTTGCCGTATGGTGCCACCGACAGCCCGAACGGCAAACGAACTTGTGCCGGGGCGCAAGGACACGGTCCCACCTGCGAGCCTCACTTTCAATTCTCCCCCAGAAGATCACAAAAGGATGAATCTTCGTGCCCTCGCTGCCGACACTTTAGCCTCGCTCGCATCCGTCTCCGGTGGCATCATCGGCCACGACCAAGTCGTTCCGTTCCCGCAGTCCCAGCCCACCACCATCAGTAACAAGGCCGCACTCAAGTTCAAACCGCAGCTCTGGATCAACAATGGCTGCCACCCGTACCCTGTCGTGAACGCTGCGGGTGACACCGGTGGCGGTCTCAAGACCCACGGCTCCTCCGCTGCAGGGTGCAGATGCTCCGGCTACGGTTCGCAGGTCTACGGGCGATCTACCTGGTACAATGGCGTCTGGGCCATCATGTACTGCTGGTACTTCCCCAAGGACGAACCTCAAGACGGCACTGGCCATCGCCACGACTGGGAGCACGTCATCGTGTGGATCGACAACCCTGATGTCGAGAACCCAAAGATCATGGCCATGACGCCGTCCGCACACAGCGGCTACTCCACGTACGCGCTTCCGCCTGCGGATATGGTGGACGGTACGAGCTGTAAGGTCGAGTACACTTCGAGTTGGCTATTCATCGACCACCACCTAGAAGGAACGTCAACTGCAGGGGAGTTCCAGGACCTCATCATGTGGAGTGATCTGACCGACGGGGCGCGCCTCGCGCTAAACACTACGAGCTTCGGCAAGGCCAACACCCCTATGAACGACGGCAACTTCCTACCGAAGATCCAGAAGGCGTACCCGTGGTCGAATGAGCAGCAGGAGCAACAACAGCAAGGACAACAGGACCAGCAGCAACAGCAGGGAGCTTAGTGCTCGAAGGGTAGTGAAGCGACCTACATGCACATACAAACTGTTATTCGATACGTTTACAGGCGTGTCGAGCCAAAACTTACGGAGTACATCTATTACTCACATATGAGTAATGCAGATCAAAGTGGGAAGAAGGACAGGAAACAGGGGACTTAGGATCAAGCTCAATAACATTCACCCCTACAATAACTTCGAAGTAGTTTCCAGGCCAACCTTTCCGAATGGTGTTGTACCTTGTTGGCGTGCAACTTCCGAAGGGTATCGTGTTACTCAATTTTAGGTAAAAAGCTAAAAAAATGGAGTATGTTACGATTCTAAGATCGAATGAATGAATTAGCAAATGCGCACTAAACGTGTCTACACTTCTCACGTCTTCCCGCTTTGTAAGCTTGTCGTTGCTAATACAGTACTACACGGATGGAGCAGAGCTGGTACCAGGTCTGTAGCACTATGCCGTGATGAGTCCGTGTTGTTCTCTGAGAGCTTTGAATGATCAGCGGCACTGCGCTGGACTGGCCTTGAGTGGGTACCCACGCGCTTCGATACACTTCCAATGTTCTGCGGCGAACAATCTCCCCAGATTCTACGCGGCAAGTAGATTAGTTAGAGTGGCATTAGCGGAATACTCAGGAGTCAGCAAAATACTCAGAATTGTGGTATTTCCTTTGAGTAATATACTTTTACAAAGTTAACTCGCACCACCTGCTCGTGCACGACGGCTATCACCTTCGGGTGCAAGACTTGGCCACTTAGTGGCCCACGGTGGTGATGGCGATGACGATCGCGAAGTCCAGCATCTTTCGGTTGTCGCTCGTCCAGATCCTCGAGATGAACCACCACGAGCGCTTGTTGAGTACAAAATTAGCACAAAGCACCTTATTTTTCCGAAGCAAAATGAGCTGGAGAGAACTACACGTATTCGTCTGCATCCGTATCCGGTATGGCGGTGGACTGAAGCGTCCAGCTAGTCGACAGCTTTGGAACACAATGCCTTCCGCGCGAATTCGAGTTCTTCCTTGGGTCCGTTGTAAACGTGAACACCGAAATTATAGCGTAAGTCGGTTCTCAAAGCGATAGACCCAGGAAATACCATGGGTACCCACTACATAATGCCCCTAGTGATCTTATATTTGAGACTCATGCCGGAGTGTTTGCATCCACACTATCTGAAATAGGCTTTGAGGCTACATCTTGTGCCACAGTCGTGCACAAGCAGGTGGACATCGGCTACTAGCGGCGTCCATTTCTTCATCCCCAAAACCCCAAAAATCCCCAAAAGTCAAATCTCAGATTTAGGAACCATGAACCTAACTTTTACTAAGACCCATTATATATCTAGCTTAGAGAAACCAGCCGCGCTGCGCTTGGCTGGGCGCCCCCGCCCGCGCGGGTGTGCTGCGGCTACGCTCCTCACAACCGCTCACCTCCGTTGGTCGGGCGCTATCGCGCCTCTGGGATATTACACCAAAAAAATTAGCCTAATATTTAGTTACCCCAATACTAAGAGTTATTTATTTCTTGGGGACAGTTTGGGGGCGTTTAATTGAGATTTTGGGGAGTAACAAACTGTTTTTATTGAAAGTCCCCAAAATTTGTTGGGGGATTTTAGGGGACTTTGGGTACGTTTTAGGGATGAAGAAAATTCTCCCCTACTAGCAGCCCATGCTGGACCTGACGAACAAACATGAAAGTGTCTTGACCGAACATTGCCAGTTAGTGGCGAATACTGTTGTAATGCTATGATACTGTAGTTTCAAGCATGTCACCAGCCCAGATACATTTCCCTGGGGTGACGGTTTAGAGCCAGCGGTGGTGAAAGCTGCAACGTGGCACACCAGGCGAATCAAGATCTCTGGATAGGGGTTTCAACGTAGCATTGTAGTGTATCGGACGCAGCAGCAGCAAAATCGAATGCGCAAGGAGTTGGCAGCAGAGCACAACAAAACGCCCGGAACAAGCGCTGGACAAGGGGGAACAAGCGGAACTCGGCCCTCCTCCTCTCAAAACAAGGGGTTTAAAGGATAAAAGATTAAGTAATAACCCACCAGTATCTTCGCAATTCGCCACAACTCTTCGTATTGATCCCATGAGAACGAAAGCTCGAGACCAACCTTGAGTAAAATAGTACGCTTTCTTTTCGTGGACACGTACAGACACGAATCTTTTCCGATCCTACACCCGCTGCAACACCCGCTGTATTACACTACAAGCAGATGCTACCGAGGAAGTAAGGCGAAAGTATTCTTTCAACAAAACAAATTGACCCGAGGCCAACAAATTTTATGCAAGTCGGATACCGAACGTGTACATGTACACGTACGTACCTGTCGCTTCATCGATCCTTACAAGACGATAGGCAAGATTGTAGACCGACCTCGCGCTATGTGGCTCCGACTCGGAGCCCGGAGACCCTTCCAAAGCAAGAACAATCACTTTTACTTTTTCTTCTCACTGCAGACGGCAATGAACCTCCGCGCTATCGCCGCTGTCACTGCTGCCTCGCTGATATCCGTCGAGGCGGGCGTTATTGGCCACGATCAAGTGGTTCCGTTCCCGCAGTCTGCCGCTACGTCCGCCGCCAACATCGCCGCCCTCAAGTTCAAGCTCCAGATCTTCATCAACAACGGCTGCCACCCGTATCCTGCCGTGAATGCTGCGGGAGACACGAGCGGTGGACTCAAGCCTAGCGGGTCTGTCAATGCCGGGTGCAAGGGATCTGGTTACGGGTCGCAGGTGTACGGCAGGTCAACGCTATACAACAACAAGCACGCGATCATGTACTCGTGGTACTTCCCCAAGGACAACCCCGTGACTGGCCTGGGCCACCGCCACGACTGGGAGCACGTCATCGTGTGGATCGACAACCCGGCGTCGAGCAACGCCACCATCTTGGCCATGACTCCGTCTGCGCACAGCGGCTACTCGACGTACGCGCCTCCGCCCGCCACCATGGTGGACGGCACCAGCGTCAAAGTCGAGTACACGTCGAGCAAAGTCGTCATCAACCACCACCTGGAGGGCACGTCGACTGCAGGAGAGACCCAGAACCTCATCATGTGGGAGGATATGACGGACGCTGCACGGTACGCGCTCAACACCACAGACTTTGGCAGTGCCAACGTCCCCATGAAGGACGGTAACTTCATTTCGAAGCTGGGCAAAGCGTACCCGTGGAAGTGAAAACGACACGGCAACTTTAACTCAAAAAGTGACAACAATTCCAGTTTGTTGAAAAATAGGTTTGAAATGTTTGAAAAATGAACATAAGAGCAGGTAAAAAGACTCACTGAGTTCATTTGATTTTCACTTTAAAAAAAACTTACACATGCACACGAACGATTGTCAAAACGGCCACGCCCTGTCGAGCTTACCAACGAAATTTCCGTCGTTCATCGGCACGTTCGCGTCGCCGAAGCTTACTTCGTTCAGGGCTCTGCGCGCCAAGTCACTCATCTGGTCCCACATGATCAAGTCCTGGAAATCGCCGCCCTCCGTCGTCACGTCCGTGGCGTGGTTCATGGGGTAGTTGCTCTCGTAGTTGACCTTGATGCTCGTGCCGTCCAGCGTGTCGGCATTCGGTGGGGAGTACTTCGAGTAGCCGCTATGTGCTGACGGCGTGACCGCCAAAATGATCGGGTCCGGAACGTCCGGGTTGTTGATCCACACAATGACGTGCTCCCAGTCGTGGCGGTGGCCCAGGCCAGTCGACGGCGAGTCCTTGGGGAAGTACCACGAGTACATAATGGCCCAGACGTCTCTGTGCCAAGTGGAGCGACCGTAGACCTGAGAACCCCAGCCAGATCCCTTGCAGCCAGCGCTGGGAGCTCCTGATGTCTTCAGGCCGCCGCTGGTCTCGCCTGCGTCATTGACTGCAGGGTACGGGTGGCATCCGTTAGTGACGTGCAGTTGGGGCTTGAACTTCACGGCGGCCCTCTCGGAAATCGTGACAGGCTCGGGCTGGGCAAATGGCCTCACTTGGTCGTGGCTGATGGTGGTGGGCTGCCAATGCTGCTGTTGCTGCTGTTGTTCTTGGGCTTGAACCGTGGCCAGAGCGGCGACAGTCGCGACCAGGAAAGTGGCTAGCTTCATCGCAGAGGCTTGGTGTTGGGGAAGGAGTGTGGTCGACTGGGCGAATCTGAAACTGCCTGTCACCGTCGGACAGCAAGATGTATAGAGCAACTTGCAGACCGATGCAGCGAGCAACAGCAGGAGGGACAACGCGCAGCATCATTAGGATATTTTAGTTGACAGAGAAACCACAAGGCGCGCCCTACAGATTGGCAAAACCTCCCCCATCTCACGGAATTTTCACTTGCCAGACACTTTACACGTTTCTTCTTTGGTTACTCACGGACGTCGTTTAGGCGTGCATCGCCTTATTCCCATAAACTGATTTGTCGATATACATGTACTGCACAAGTATTAGTAAGAGTAGTCTATCCCATCGGCTGGTGTAGGATCAAGCTGCACATTGGAGTTTTCTTGCCCATGTACTTTGGGCGGGTTGATGTCTTGGAGCAGGACAGGTTCCCAACGCCGTACAAAATTTTAAGGTTAACTTAACATCATCGTAAGTACCGCGGTGTGAGCGTGAGCGAGCAACAGGTGGTTTGCAGGATTACAAAAAATTAATCTCTCTACACGGTTGCATTGCACAACCTTTAGTAAAATGTTACTGCATCCCCATCAGAAGAAGTGATCTTGATATATCGACGACTAAGGCGCTGCTGCGTAGTTACACCGTCGGCGAGAGCAGCTGCGAATTGCTATGCAATGGGCCAACGTGGCAATGGTAAGACATGGCCCTTGTGTGTAGTGTTCTTGCGAAAAATTGCTGTTGCGGCTTCATGTGAGGGACATTCGTCTCGCCAGCCATGTAGCACGCGTGGTAGTTGACGATGACGATGCCACGTTTGATGTATTGCATGTATTTTCGTCCTTAGTTTATTGCTGCTGCGCGCTAAGTTTTGGATCCGAGCAGCCGTGGAAGAGTGCGAGGAGGTGGCCGCGACTAGCGCCGCCACGGAGCCCGCAAACCCTTCCGCGAGCGAGAGAGCTGAGGCCCGCAAGGTCGCTTCTCGTTTTCTTGGCGACCCAATGATAATTAATAAGAATCCGCACGGACACAAAGAAGCTTTCTAAGCATTTCTTATGCAATTTTAATCTTAACACTGCATTGAAGCACGTAGGCATGCGCTTTTGCTCAACAAAAGGTAAATATGCCCATGTTCCTATGGTCTAACCAATAAATAGTCGAGCTACGTTACGTACCGGTTACGTTTCAAAGCACACGCGGTCTTGCCCGCCGCAGCAAGTTGAAAACGAGCTATATCTCAGGATAGGGAGCGCCAAACGCAGACACAGTCGTTGTGCTTACGGATGAGCAAAGACACATAATTCAATAAATATTGTAGATACGGGCACTTCATTCTATCACCCGAGTCTTCTTCATGTGTATGCACCTCCTCAGCGAATCATTCTCGTTGGCAACGAGGCAGCCAAGAGGCGAGCCACACTCACAACGTTCAGTGCTAATGTCCCAAGCAGATGGCTCGAGAATGAACGCCACCTGCGTGGCAATGCCCCCATACGATGCCCCTCTGGCCTTCGTATTGGATTTTCAACCCTGTCGACGGCGTCAGTTTACCTGGCCATTGTTACACTTGCCCACAGCGTCCAATGACACGCCTGCTGCCAATGCGAATGTGACTCCTGCTCATAATTCTCGGTGGGCTCCAATTGTGATGGCGTCGGAGCCGCGCGTCTGCGAGCTCGGCGACTTGCGCGTGAAGCTAAATCACAGGAGGTATATGGCAGGCGATCTGCTCCGGGGTCGAGTTCTCTTTCGAGCGACCAAGTGTGTGAAGAGTTCCGACTTTGTCGTTCGCCTAGAGGGCCGAGAACACATTTCGTGGCTGGAGCATCGCGCTAGAAGAAGGCACAACAAAGACGTTCTCCAGGAACAGGTACGCATCGTTGCCGTAAGTTAGTTTGAATCCTTCCGCGTAGACTTTAATTAACATCTTTGTGGTCTTTTTGCCGACAGGTTTCGCTACTGGACGCTTCATCAGCGTTCCGACCTGGAGAGTACGAGGTTCCGTTCAGCTTCCAGCTACCGGCATCCCTTCCAAGCTCGTTTCAGATGAAAGACCGACAATTAGTCGACTTGGGGAGCATGAAGTCCTCCATCACGTACAAGGTTCGCGCCACGATACGCATCGACGGCGCACTCCACCCGTACATCGAAGGCTCTTGCCCATTTATCGTGCATCGCCCACCTCCAGACAGCCTCATGCAGCCAGTCGAGCGATCTTCATCGGAAAAGATCCGCGTGTTTCGAGTCTTCTCGCGCGGCATTTGTACGCTATCCGCTTCACTGGATCACGACGAGGTGACTGCCGGTGACATGGTGACGGTGTTCACTAGCGTGAAGAACGAGACGTCCAAGGACATGACGGGGATCTCGGTGCAGCTCGTCGAAGACCTGGCGGTGGACGTCCCCTTCCGCACGCAGAAGCGAGGCTCGACTGTCCTGTGTCGACGAGACTTCCCAGGAGTCCGAGCTAGACGTCAGGCGGACCGAGCTCTGAGCTTGAACTTGGCCACCGAGACGCCGTGGAGCTTCGAGTCCATTAATCCGACCATGGCGTGCAACTTCGTCCAGTGGAAGTACCGACTCGTTGTCACGTGCAGCTTTCGCCTTTGTTCAAGCGTGAAGGTCGAGTTCCCCGTGACGGTGTCGTGTCCTAGGAGTGCTGGCAGGATGTCGATGGTTAGACTCCCAGGACCATTCTCGTCTCCTCTAGGCGTCGAGGACGTGCCCTTAGGCCCAAGAAGCTTGCCTCAACTCTCTCGACTCAGCCAGAGCTTTCTAGAAAGGAGCGCCTTATCCTACGCGCATTAGTACTCGAGGCGTAGTTAGGGTGTGCAAGCTTATTGTACTCCTCTAAATAGAAAACCTATTGCTGGAGAAGTATCCCCTTAATTCTGACAAGACTTGTAGGTGTGTAGGTGTCGAATCGGAATGTGGTTGAAGGAGACAAGGTCCCTACTAGGGACTCCCTAGTGCAACGCGTTGTGCCTCAAGTCGAAGCCGCAGCGTAACGCGTGGCCAGGTTTACCCCGTGACGATGTTCCTGAGCTTGCAGCTGCAACGGTCCGGCGGTAGTTGAAGTTTTGCGCACAGAGTGACCCAGTGTGTGATACATGTGGGACACATAAATAGAATATTGCAGTAGTGATCTAAGTGTATTGTATCGAAAGACCCACGTCAACGCGTATGTGTTTCCAAAGGTATTTTCCGTCTGCATGGTCGCGGTCCGCCCAAGCAGCCGCTTCAACCACAGCCTGCATAATGCCACGCACTTGCTGGGCTCCACACAGGTCCCAACGTAGCTGAGAGCCCATTCTGCTATTGACCAGCAAAAGCTCAAGTGACCCCCCTCTCCGTAAAGATGGCCGTCAAGTTCCTGAACCAGGGCGCCAAGATCCAGGAGTTCACCGTGGGCGGCCGCAACCTCGTGCTGGGCTTCCCCACGCCGGAGCTCTACATCCAGCACTGCGGCCCGCACTTCGGCGAGACCGTGGGCCGCATCGCCAACCGCGTGTCGGGCGCCAAGGTGGAGCTCAACGGCAAGTCCTACGACCTCATCGCCAACGACGGCGTCAACTCGCTGCACGGCGGCAACACGTGGGGGCTCAAGGACTTCGAGGGCCCCTTCGAGGTCAAGAACCACGAGGGCAAGGACGCCGTGCAGTACAAGCTCGTGAGCCCCGACGGAGACTCGGGATTCCCCGGCACGGTCGAGTTCACGGTCACGTACACGCAGACGACGAGCACGACGGAGAACGGCAAGGAGCTCGTGGAGCTGGAGGCCGAGTACGAGGCGCAGCTGGTCGGCCCCGAGGACGTCAAGGAGACGGCCATCAACATCACGAACCACAGCTACTTCAACCTGTCCGACCGCGAGACCATCGACGGCACGGAGGTGACGCTCGCCTCGGACCAGTACCTCGTGCCGGACGAGGGCAACATCCCCACGGGCGCCATCGAGAGCTTCCCGGGCATCAAGGCGCACGAGAAGTTCACGCTCGGCGTCAAGGAGCCCAACGTGGACCACTGCTTCCTCATGAACCACGACTCCAAGAGCATCCCGCTCGACACGCGCAGCCTGCCGCTGCAGCTGCTGGTCACGGCCGAGCACCCGGACACCAAGATCCACCTCGAGGTGCTCAGCACGGAGCCCGCCTTCCAGTTCTACACGGGCTTCTGGAACGACGCCCCCGCCGTGGCCGGCCAGCCCGCTCGCGGATCGCGCTCGGGCTTCGCCGTCGAGCCTGGCCGCTTCGTCAACGCCATCAACACGCCCGAGTGGCGCAACCAGATGCTGCTGCCCAAGGGCGAGAAGTTCGGCAGCCGCATCGTCTACCGCGCCTGGGCGGCCTAAGCGTCGAGTTTGATCGACGCTTGACCAAGGACTTTCGTGCCGGGTGGCGATGGATATGAGCAGCGGGCACAACTACAATCTGAGTAGAGCCCTTGGTGTACGGATATGCGTGAGTAAATACAAATTTTGTGATTCAAAAGGGAGTATTTGTTCGACTTTGGACGCCCCGATGTCGTCGACGCACACGACCACGTGCCCCCGGTCATGGTGGAGGCCCAGTCCCGAGATCGGAGGGTGCTTGGGGAAGTACATGTACTACTGGTATGGATACCACGAGTGCATGATAGCCGTTGTACCGTACAACTTGCACGTCGTTATACGGCCGTAGATTTGGCTGCCATACCAGACCCCTTGCAGCCAGCGCTAAATAAGCCCGCGGGCTTGCGTGTTGCCGTCCTTGTCCTCGCTGGTCCTGCCAGCTTCCAATCGAGTCGAGGTTGGATATCCACGGATGCATGAAGCGCCAGCACTTGGGTAGCATGTTGAAGTTGCACTGGTTGACGCATTATATGTGGGTCACACCATAATTCTGAATTATTATTCTGTTCAAATTCCCAAATAGCAATTATTGGAGATGATGTCGGAGCGCAAGCGGCGGCGGCTGGACGAAGACGCCCGGCGTCTGGAGCTGTGCGCGGCCGACCTGCGCGAGCTGGGCGCCGCCATCGGCTCGTGCGCGTTCCGCTTGCCCTCGGAGAACGTGTCGGTGCCGCTGCAGCGCTCGCGCGCGGCGTCCAAGCCTCCCAAGCCGGCAGCAAGTTCCGGCCGCTCTTCGTCGCGCTCGCTGTACTCGGTGGTGTCCAGCTCGGCGTACGCGGCCAAGACGAACGCGCAGAGCCGGCAGGAGACCTGGCAGGAGGCGCTGCAACGACTGGCGGCCGAGCTGGACGCGCCGCGCGCGCAGAAGGAGGCGGTGGGGCGCTGCGAGCGGCTGCGCAGACGCTTCGAGGCGCTGAGCGACGCCGTGCGGCTGTGCCAGGACAAGCTGCGGCGCGCCGGCGACGAGGTGGCGCTGCAGGACCGCGTGGAGAGCCAGCTGGCGCAGGAGGAGACGGCGTGGGAGCAGCAGATGCAGACGCGCGAGCAGCGCGTGGCCGAGCGCGAGGTGGAGCTGCATGCGCTGCAGGAGGAGCGCGCGGCGGACGAGGCCGGCGACATAGCGGCGGCAGCTGCGGACGAAGAGAAGGAGGACGAGGAGAAGAAGCAAGAGGATGCCGATACAGAAGAAGACGCAGAGGTGGATGAAGATGCAGAGCAGGCGCGCGCGGAGCTGCGCGAGGCGCTGGCCCTGCGCGCCGAGGAGAAGCGGGACATCCAGGCGGCTATTGACTCCCTGCAGCGCAAACGCGCCAGGCGCAGCGCCGCGCTGGCTGAACAGAGGAAGAAACTGCAGCAACGGCAAGAGCAGGAGGAGGCGGAGAACGTGGAGGCGGATGCCGCCGCAGCCGCGCGGCAGCAGGTGCTGAGGGAGCTGCGCGACGAGAAGGAGGCACTGCAGACGGATATCATCGCGGCGGAGGAGCTGGAGGAGAAACTCGAGGAGAACGTCCGGGACCTGCCGGCGCTCAAGGACGAGCTGCAGCGCGCCAAGGCAGAGCGCGCGCAGGTGCAGGCGCAGGTGGACTCGCTGCGGCTGGAGCTGGCGCGGCGCAAGCGCAAGATGCGGCACATGGTGGACGTGCAGCTCCTGACGGCGCGCGACACGAACCCGCCAACTCTGCGTGAGGAGGCAGTGCTGCTGCACTTGCTGTACGAGCACGAGGGCGAGATGGGCGTGAACGAGCTCAAGCAGGAGGCGAGTGCGGTGCTGGAGGAGCACGGCAAGCCGAACGGCAACGGCGTGGTGATCCGCGCGCTGTACTCGTTGGTAGCGAATGGCGTCGTGCAGATTGACCGGTCGTACGGCAACGGGCTGGTCACGTCACTGCTGGTTTGATTTATTTGTCGAGTACGTTATTGAGCCTAATAGCAAGTACGATGCGTTTGCACACTCTAACTCTAACAACGGCTAATGCGCGTAGGATAAGGCGCTCCTTTCTAGAAAGCTCTGGCTGAGTCGAGGAGTTGAGGCAAGCTTCTTGGGCCTAAGGGCACGTCCTCGACGCCTAGAGGAGACGAGAATGGTCCTGGGAGTCTAACCATCGACATCCTGCCAGCACTCCTAGGACACGACACCGTCACGGGGAACTCGACCTTCACGCTTGAACAAAGGCGAAAGCTGCACGTGACAACGAGTCGGTACTTCCACTGGACGAAGTTGCACGCCATGGTCGGATTAATGGACTCGAAGCTCCACGGCGTCTCGGTGGCCAAGTTCAAGCTCAGAGCTCGGTCCGCCTGACGTCTGGCTCGGACTCCTGGGAAGTCTCGTCGACACAGGACAGTCGAGCCTCGCTTCTGCGTGCGGAAGGGGACGTCCACCGCCAGGTCTTCGACGAGCTGCACCGAGATCCCCGTCATGTCCTTGGACGTCTCGTTCTTCACGCTAGTGAACACCGTCACCATGTCACCGGCAGTCACCTCGTCGTGATCCAGTGAAGCGGATAGCGTACAAATGCCGCGCGAGAAGACTCGAAACACGCGGATCTTTTCCGATGAAGATCGCTCGACTGGCTGCATGAGGCTGTCTGGAGGTGGGCGATGCACGATAAATGGGCAAGAGCCTTCGATGTACGGGTGGAGTGCGCCGTCGATGCGTATCGTGGCGCGAACCTTGTACGTGATGGAGGACTTCATGCTCCCCAAGTCGACTAATTGTCGGTCTTTCATCTGAAACGAGCTCGGAAGGGATGCCGGTAGCTGGAAGCTGAACGGAACCTCGTACTCTCCAGGTCGGAACGCTGATGAAGCGTCCAGTAGCGAAACCTGTCGGCAAAAAGACCACAAAGATGTTAATTAAAGTCTACGCGGAAGGATTCAAACTAACTTACGGCAACGATGCGTACCTGTTCCTGGAGAACGTCTTTGTTGTGCCTTCTTCTAGCGCGATGCTCCAGCCACGAAATGTGTTCTCGGCCCTCTAGGCGAACGACAAAGTCGGAACTCTTCACACACTTGGTCGCTCGAAAGAGAACTCGACCCCGGAGCAGATCGCCTGCCATATACCTCCTGTGATTTAGCTTCACGCGCAAGTCGCCGAGCTCGCAGACGCGCGGCTCCGACGCCATCACAATTGGAGCCCACCGAGAATTATGAGCAGGAGTCACATTCGCATTGGCAGCAGGCGTGTCATTGGACGCTGTGGGCAAGTGTAACAATGGCCAGGTAAACTGACGCCGTCGACAGGGTTGAAAATCCAATACGAAGGCCAGAGGGGCATCGTATGGGGGCATTGCCACGCAGGTGGCGTTCATTCTCGAGCCATCTGCTTGGGACATTAGCACTGAACGTTGTGAGTGTGGCTCGCCTCTTGGCTGCCTCGTTGTCATCGAATCGTGGAGGGCATGTAGAAGTCTCAGGTACCAATTCGCTCTCTGGATACATTATTTCTGAGGTTTTCGAAACGGAGCTGCCGTACGAGTGCAAAAGCGAGCTACATGCTGGTCCTCTATCAGTTTTACGCTACAGTTAAGAAGAAACTACATGTGCTGCGATCTTATCCTTATCTCATTCAAAACACGAACGGTAGTTGTCAAGAATGCCCAATCGAAACAGTTGCGCTTGCTTGGATAACTTTATCAAAGGTTTTGTACGACAATAGTTCCCCCCCGTGAATTACGCGTAGTAAGCGTTGCCGAGCTTCATCTGGAAGTTTGCGTCCTTCATCGGCACATTGGCGTCGCCGAAGTCCGTGTTCTCCAGCGCCGTGCGTGCTGTGTCCGTGAGTTGGTCCCACATAATCAGGTCCTGCGTCTCACCAGCATCCGATGTGCTGTCGAGGGCGTGATTCACGACCAGCCAGCTCGACGAGTAGTCCACCTTGGCGCTGTAGCCGTCAATGGTACCGGACTCTGGCGGGTAGTAAATGTTGTATCCGTTGTGGGCCGACGGGGACACAGCAATGATCGACGGGCTGGCGAGCGTGATGTCGTCGACCCACACGACCACATGCTCCCAGTCGTGGCGGTGGCCCAGTCCCGAGATCGGAGAGTCCTTGGGGAAGTACCACGAGTACATGAGAGCGTAGACGCCATTGAACGTCGTGATGCGGCCGTAGATCTGGCTGCCGTACCCGGACCCCTTGCAGCCGGCGCTAGATGAGCCCGTGGGTTTGAGTCCCCCACTCGTGTTGCCGTCCTTGTCGACGGCTGGGTAGGGGTGGCAGCCGGATCTGCGGCTTGAACTTGATGCCTGCCGCCTACTCCGCTGTCGAAGCTGTGGGCTGAGCGAATGGAACGACCTGGTCGTGCGAGATCACGTCGGCTTGGGTGAGAGCGAGTGAGGCTGCGGCCGCAGTGAAGAACGCACGGAGGTTCATGGTCGAGAAGGAGGAGGCTTGGGCACTTGGAGGCGAATTGCAAAAGTGTGTTCGAAGATACCAAGGGGGTTTTAATCTCTCGACGTTGCGCTCGACTGGCGAGATTCAACGAGATCACCACATCGCATCTTGGTGGACGTCTGCAAGTGCTACAGGATAGGCTAGGAGCGTGAGCAATGGTGGAGTGGCGGCACAGAAGCAGGCTCGCCTCCACCTTCGATCAGGCTGCCAGCAGTTAAGCACTTCTAACAAGGGGCGTCTTAGGTGAAGCATTCGTTGCTCTGAGCATTGCTCTCGATACAGTACATGTAGTGGAGGGGTCTTGCAAATCCTTCGAGATGTTGATGTTGAAGTCACATTCGCAGAGCTCACAGCAGCAGCTTCCAATGGTGGCATTCAGGAACCAAAACCTAGTGCTCCTGGCCCACAACCGGCAGACATCACAGCCATGCACGGAAGTGTAGCGCAGTCGACTACAGTCTGTACTCCACAGGAAGCGTCTGGTCCACGACAGTGTCCATGGCTGCCTCGGATCACCAGGATGCCCTACACATCGCCCCAGGGACCAGATTCATGAAAATGCCTGCCTCGTCCGCAGGCGCTGATTAACCCTTAATAATGTATGTGCGGCATCTTGGTGATCCCCTTCAAGCTCACTCTGCAATTTGCGCCAAGCCCCGCATCTTTTAACCCCAAGGACATCGACTCGCACCATGAATCTCCGACGTCTCGTCGTCGCGGCTGTGGCTTTCCTCACCGCCTCGCACGCTTCCGTCATCGACCACGACCAGGTCGTGCCGTTCGCACAGCCCACACCGACCTCGACGTCTCAAACCGCTGCGGTCAAATTCAAGCCCCAGCTCCACATCACGAACGGCTGCCACCCGTACCCTGCTGTCGATGCGGACGGCAACACCAGCGGTGGTCTCAACCCGACGGGGTCGTCCAGCGCTGGCTGCAAAGGCTCGGGCTACGGCAGCCAGATCTACGGACGCTCGACGTGGTACAACGGCGTCTGGGCCATCATGTACTCCTGGTACTTCCCCAAGGACTCGCCGGCGTCAGGCTTTGGCCACCGCCACGACTGGGAGCACATCGTGGTCTGGCTGAACAACCCCGCGGTGACCAGCCCGGAGCTCCTCGCGGTCTCCACGTCGGCTCACAGCGGGTACACCACCTACTACCCGCCCAGTTCGAGCTACCTGGACGGCAACAGCGCCAAGATCGACTACTACAACGTGCTGCTGATCAACCACGCGTTCCGCATGACGTCGGACTCGGGCGAGACTCAGGATCTGATCATGTGGGATCAACTGACCGACGCTGCGCGGACGGCACTCGAGAACACGGACTTTGGTGACGCCAACGTGCCATTCAAGGATGCCAACTTTGAGACCAAACTAGCGAACGCATGGTACAAGTAAATAGCTGGTTAATACTGAAAGCCAACTTCAACAGCTACTCTTGCATGTGCATGTAGTTGTAGTTGCCGAGTCCTGTGAGGATGGAGGCGACCAGAGCTAAACTTTACATGGCACTGGTCCAGACTTCAACGCGGCCATCTTGATGAGCTGTCACTTGAGGCAAATCGGCACTGCACTGGTGTCCTATCCACGGTGGATTTCGCGTCAGTGCGGGAAGCCCAAGGCAACAGTCAGAATCGACCGCTTTGCTCAAACTTGGAGGCCAAAAGCTACCTAGCATATATATGTGAATTTGAGATGAGTGCCAGTACTCCTAGCCTCGGAGTCCTTACAACAACACTATTTTCTCGGCCGAATCGACAACCTTCGCTTTGCTGGAGCGTGAGTGATCCCTATTTCACTGTTCGCTTTGCGAGGTGTTCCACGCGACTGATTGCTCCTTGTCGTCCATCATGACATGCCTACCCACCGAACGGCTCAACGAGGTGATTGCCCCGCCTTTTCTTGCTTACCTCCTTTGACTCACAGATTCAACAAGCCTTTCCCGCCCAAGAGGCTGCACGACCTACGTGAATGCTATGCTGCCTCAAAGCTTTGTGCTCTAGATCGTGGAGCTCTATCATTTCCCAACTCGCTCCGTCCTGCACACAACAAAACAAGCTCCTCATCTGACCATGAACCTCCGCCCTGCACTCCTCGCTACGCTGGCTTCATTCGCGTACGTGAGCGCCAGCGTTATCAACCACGACCAGGTCGTGCCATTCACCCAGCCGACGCCTACGACCGCTCTCCAACAAGCGGCCGTCAAGTACAAGCCTCAAATCCACATCAGCAACGGCTGCCACCCGTACCCTGCCGTGGACAATAACGGCAACACGAGCGGCGGGTTGAATCCTACCGGCAGCGAGAGCGCCGGGTGCAAGGGCTCCGGCTACGGCACTCAAATCTACGGTCGCGCCGTCAAGTACCAAGGTGTCTACGCCTTCATGTACTCGTGGTACATGCCCAAAGACGAAACCTTGACCGGGCTGGGGCACCGCCACGACTGGGAGGCGTGCGTTGTCTGGGTCGACGACATCGCTGCGTCCAGTCCGAAGATCGTCGCGCTGTCCGCTTCAGCGCACAGCGGATACAACAAGTACTACCCGCCGAGCTCCTCCTACTTCAGTGGCAACAGCGCCAAGATCGACTACTCGTCCAGCTACGTGGTCATCAACCACGCGCTGTCGGCCACGTCAACTGCGGGCGAGACGCAGCCTCTGATCATGTGGGACCAGCTCACGGACGCGGCCCGCAGGGCACTGGAGGACACGGACTTTGGCGACGCCAACGTGCCGTTTAAGGATGCCAACTTCCAGACCAAGCTCGGCAACGCCTACTACGCTTAACGTTGACTCAGGCTTTTAACCTGTCTCGCATACTTGACGGACGGTGCAGCATTTGAATGTGACGACTTTGTGAATCTCGTTCGCTAATCGCGCCCTGGTCTTGGCAGTTTGTAATGCGCCAGGATCCATGGCGTTGAACCTTCCGTTAGCCTCGCCGTCTCCACGTTTTTGGCGCTTCCGTGACGTCGACTTTGTCGTTCTACTCTACATTGTAGAGTGCACAAACGAGCAGCAAATCGTACGATGTAGCAAGGGGCAACCGTGTTTTTATTTTGTAGATTCCGATGGGGAAACCAGGCCCGAGGTGTTGTTTCACTGAGGCTTTGCTTTACCTTGATGACACTCTTGTTAGGCGAAACGGAGACTGCAAGCTTAGTCATGGGGAATCTAAGCTGTGCACGCTCACAGTACATGCACACGTACTCTGCAATGGGCTTCGCTAGTCGCGATGGAGGCGATAACCTTTCGTTGTGACGGTGCCATCCTTATCATCCCACGCCCGGTCTTTGGCGGAGGTGAGCTTCAACAGCTGTGGCAACTTCACGCCCGCCCGCCACACGGACGATATGCTTGGCATCAAGCACCATGCAGCAGAATCTGCCTCGACGGGGATACAATGGAGCTGACAGTCAGCTCCGAACTGCTGCGCTCACTATAGAGCTCATTATCGCTTTTGCAGCGTCGCCAGCAGTCTTCTCGCTTCCTCTTCACCACGGTTCGCAACACCATGAACCTCCGCGCTGTTGCTGCTGCTTCACTCGCCGCTCTTGTCGGCATCGACGCTGCAGTTATCGCCCATGACGCTGTTGTGCCGTTCCCGCAGCCAACGCCAAACACCACCATCCAGACCGTCGCTGTCAAGTTCAAACCCCAGATCTACATCAACAACGGATGCCACCCGTACCCTGCAGTCGATGAAGACGGCAACACCAGCGGCGGCTTGGAGCCCACGGGTGCAAGGGATCTGGTTATGGCAGTCAGATCTACGGCCGCGCTGTGGAGTACGAAGGCGTCTACGCCTTCATGTACTCCTGGTACATGCCCAAGGACGAGACGTTGGACGGACAGGGACACCGTCACGACTGGGAGAACTGCGTCGTGTGGCTGGACTCTCTCGACAACCCGAGTATTGTTGCGCTTTCCGCCTCCTACCACAGCACGTACCTGTACTACTACCCTCCCGACTCGGACTACCTGGACGGCAACAGTGCTAAGATCGAGTACTCGACGAGCTGGGTCATCCTTGACCACTCGCTGTCGGCGACGTCGACTGCTGGCGAGACCCAGGACTTGATCATGTGGGACCAACTAACCGACGCAGCTCGCACAGCACTGGAAGACACGGACTTCGGTGACGCCAACGTGCCGTTCAAGGAGGCCAACTTCGAGACGAAGCGTGCCAATGCGTACTACGCGTAGACCTTGCATCTGCAATGGTGGCGTCTTGAGTTAATGCGTCGTATTCAACGGAGTGGAGGATGGCTGCGAATGTTGGAGACCGTAAGGGAAGGGTAAGATGATTTGTCGTCGTACAGCATCGACGCAAGTTGAGTATTGATGCGTCGTCGTGCAGCACCGATGCAAGTTGAGTACATGTACATAATCTTTGATGTGTACATGTATGAAGCTCTTTGCGTATTATAGAAGTGTGTTTGTTGCACGCTGTGGACTAAAGCCACTCGACCATCGCGGCAGACACGAAAACCATGTACTGTACCCGTAGAGTCTAGTGTCAGAACGATTTTTTCTCAAAGCACGCGTTGAGTGATCCGGGAGTCAAGAATACAGTAGGTAATCGCCAACGGGGGGTCGACATCGAATCCTTTGACTTGGAAAGCACATCCCAAACTCAATCCTTAGTAATTCTCGCTCGAACAGAAAATTGAAGTTATCATCTCTGATGGCGAACGTTTATGGCTCAGCTTGGCTTTGGGTCGCTGCGGCGATTTGCGTTCTGCTCCTCGAACTGACTTCCAGACTGGAAGTTCCAGCTCTTCGCTTACACTCGTTTTACCGCGCGCACTATCGAAATTCCTCTCACGAGAGATGAAGGGCAGCCCCGCACTCTTCGCAGCCCTCCTTGCTGCATGCGCCTCGCAGGCTCATGCGGGTGCCGTTATCAGTCACGACCAAGTGGCCCCCTTCGCGCAACCTGAGCCCGTCACGATCTCTGAGAAGGCTGCGGTCAAGTTCAAGCCCCAACTGCACATTTCCAACGGATGTCACCCGTACCCCGCCGTGAACGAAGCAGGAGACACCGATGGCGGTCTATCGAACACTGGGGCACCCAGTGGCAAGTGCAAAGGCTCAGGTCTTGGCTCGCAGGTCTACGGACGCTCAGGCTGGCACAAGGATGTGTGGACCATCATGTACGCGTGGTACTTCCCCAAGGACATGGCGTCTTTCGACCTAGGCCACCGCCACGACTGGGAGCACGCCGTCATTTGGATCGACAACCCTGACGTAGCAGAACCCAAGATCTTAGGCGTCTCCGCTTCGTCGCATGCTGGCTACGAAAAGGTCACTACCATCCCGGCGGGCTCATTGAATGGTACCAGTGTGCTACTGAACTACGAAAGTACGTGGCCTGTGGATCACGAACTGCGCTTTACGACGAAGGGCGGAGAGTACCAACCGCTGATCATGTGGACCCAGTTGACGGATGCGGCCAGGGTGTCCTTGAGTACGACGGACTTCGGTAGTGCGCTGATGCCGATGACGGACTTCTGTTCATGAGTCTTCGGGAGCGCCGCCAATAGATGCACATGGACGAGGAGAACGTGTGGACACATCCGCCGATGACTCGGAGGATCCGACGGCAACAGGAGAGCCGGCGGCAGCCGGGCTCTGGGTACACCAATGACTGGTCAGGGAGACCCATATATACTGAGATCAAGTCAAGCGGAAACCGGGAGTAATCCGTCTGATGAGAGGCACCAACGAGCACAAGGAGAACAAGAAGGAAAGCAGGAGGGGAAGACTAGAGAGTAGTTTGAGAGACGATAACATTTAATCTCACTTCGGAATTTGCCCCCTCAACCACAAGCTACAAACCAACAGGTTAACAGCCGCAACAAGCTCAAGCCCTCCCCGACGACCGACATGACGACGTCCAGCAAGAAGGCCGAAGTCATCTTGGGAAGTGACAATTACTTCCACTGGGAGTTCGCGATGCGTATGACGCTCGCGAGGAAGGGGCTGCTGACGCACGTCCAAGTGGTGAAGGACCCGACGGAGATGACGGAGGCCTGGATGCTCAACGACATGAAGGCGCTCGGTCTGATCGCTCAAGGCGTGGCTGTGGAACATCACACGAAGATTCAGTCGGCGACGTCGGCTATCCAAGCCTGGAATACTCTACGCGAGTTCTACAACCGGACGACGATGCATAATCGGGTCACGATGACTCGTCGGCTCCACGAGTTCAAGATGGAGGACGGTGCGACGATGGCGAAGCACCTGGACAAGTTCGACGAGCTCATCGTGGGCCTTCAGACGCTTGGAGAGCCCTCGATGACTCCCGACAACTCGTCATCCTGCTAAGCAGCTTGCCGGCGGAGTATGAGTTGATCGCATCGGATTTCGGAGCTGCGGCGGTGACCAGTGTGTATACGTCAAGGGCGAGAAGGGCAGGTTCGTGTACGTCTGCCTGTACGTGGACGATATGATCATCGCAGCCAAGACGAGCAGCGAGATCCAGGAAGTCAAGGTGGCGCTCAAGAATGCGTTTAAGATGAAGGAGTTGGGCGAGGCCAAGTTCATTCTCGGTATGGATATCGACCATGACTCATCGGCGAAGACTCTCATCATCAAGCAGACTCGATACATTGATGATGTGGTGAAGCGGTTCAACCAGCAGGACGCCAAGGTGGTGGTGAACCCGTGCGAGTCGGGCATGAAGTTGTCGAAGACTCAGTCGCCGATGACTCAGAAGGAACGTGAGGAAATGCAGGCGAAGCCCTACGGAGCACTCATTGGCTGTTTGCTGTACATTACAACGTGCACCAGACCTGATGTGGCGTACATCGTGACCCAGTTGTCGCGCTTCCCCGAGAACCCCGGGCAGCAGCACTGGAAGGCTGCCATCCGCGTGCTCAGGTACCTGAAGAGCACCCGAGACATCGGCATCGCCTACAATGGGAACGCGAAGAAGGTCGAGGTGACGGCGTACACCGACGCCGACTGGGGCAGCAATCTCGACGACCGACGCTCGGTGTCGGGCATCATGGTGATGATTAGCGGGGCGCCGGTGGTCTACAAGTCGAAGTACCAGCGCACGGTGGCGCTCAGCTCGGCGGAGGCCGAGTACATGGCGCTGAGCCTGCGCACGCAGGAGGTGCTGTGGGCCCGCGCCATGCTCAAGGACATGGGTCACGAGCAAGTGGGAGCTACCCAAGTATGGGAGGACAACCAGGGCGCGATCGCTCTCGCAAGCAACGCTGGCTACAACGCGAGGACCAAGCACGTGGACATCAAGCATCACTTCATCCGCGAGAATGTGTCCTGAGGACTCATCATCGTCAACTACGTGCCGACGGAAGACCAGCTCGCGGACATGCTAACCAAGGCGTTGGGGACGAAGAGGCTCCAGTACCTGATCAGCGCAAGCGGAATCATCGGGACGGTCGTGTAGCATTAGCGGCGAGTGAGAGTGTTCATGAGTCTTCGGGAGCGCCGCCAATAGATGCACATGGACGAGGAGAACGTGTGGACACATCCGCCGATGACTCGGAGGATCCGACGGCAACAGGAGAGCCGGCGGCAGCCGGGCTCTGGGTACACCAATGACTGGTCAGGGAGACCCATATATACTGAGATCAAGTCAAGCGGAAACCGGGAGTAATCCGTCTGATGAGAGGCACCAACGTGCACAAGGAGAACAAGAAGGAAAGCAGGAGGGGAAGACTAGAGAGTAGTTTGAGAGACGATAACATTTAATCTCACTTCGGAATTTGCCCCCTCAACCACAAGCTACAAACCAACATTTTCTGGTTATCTGGCAAACTGGACAAGGCGTGGCCATTTTAGAGGCACTGTGATGCGTTACTTAGTCGAAATGGAACGTTACTTAGTGAAGAAATAATGAACCAGCACTACGTTAGTTTATACCAACTCTAGGCGTAGTACGCCTTTGCAACCTTTGTGGCGAAGTTGGCCTCCTTGAACGGCACGTTGGCACTGCCAAAGTCCGTGTCTTCCAGCGCAGTGCGGGCTGCATCAGTCAATTGGTCCCACATGATCAAGTCCTGGGTCTCGCCAGCAGTCGACGTCGCCGACAGCGAGTGGTCAAGGATGACCCAGCTCGTCGAGTACTCGATCTTGGCACTGTTGCCATCCAGGTAGTCTGAGTCGGGAGGGTAGTACGTCAGATACGTGCTGTGGTAGGAGGCGGAGAGCGCCACAATACTCGGATCATCGAGCGAGTCGAGCCAAACAACGCACGCCTCCCAGTCGTGGCGATGGCCGAGTCCGGGTAGAGTCTCGTCCTTGGGCATGTACCAGGAGTACATGAAGGCGTAGACCCCTTCGTACTCCACGGCGCGACCGTAGATCTGACTGCCGAGGCTTGACCCAGTGTAACCCGAACTCTCGCTGCCAGTAGGCTTGAGGCCGCCGCTGGTGTTACCGTCTTCGTCGACGGCCGGGTATGGGTGGCACCCGTTGGCGATGTAGATCTGCGGCTTGAACTTGACCGCAAGCGTCTGTAGCGTCGTGGTGGGGGTCGGTTGCGCGAAGGGAACGACTGTATCGTGGTCTATCACTGCTCCACTCACGAGTGCGAGTGAGCCGACAGTGGTGGCAACGATAGCACGAAGGTTCATCGCAAGAGGATTTCTAGACGCTCACGTGGACGGTGTTGCTGCCGTAGCAGGTTGAGATGTGACCGTCGTAAGAGATCACCACGACTAGCCAACGATCACGAGGATGTTCGTTGGAGATGGCGAGCGTGGGAGCTCGAAAGACAGGTCCAGAACGGGAATCCTGTACCCAACCACGGTCAAGCAGCGTCTTCGGCTCGCACCATATCGTCGCCTGCATTGTGATTCCAGCCTTACCGTCGAGATCAAGCTCTTGGGGCATCAACCGAGGCAGGTTTGGATTGCGGGCCGCCCTGGGGTCCAGCGTCTGGGCGCCGCCTAGACAACCGTGCGACTTATTCGTGCAACAAATGCCTCGTCGTACCACGCTCGTGGACAAATATTTTTCATTTCGTGACTAGCGACCGTATCCTAATGGCTCTTGCTCGATCACCTCACGAGCAGTGTGTCGGTTAATAACTTCCGCCTCAACCTGTTTCTGCTGAGCGGGTGTCGACGGCAGGTGTACTTAAGTACGTAGCGCCTGTCCTCGCGGTCTGCTCAGAGCAACTCGCTCGGTGCTCAAACTCGCTCAGGTGGCGACTGGATCCATCATCTCTGATGCACAACTTTGTTTGGTTACTCAGCTTGTAGGCTTAGACTGTTTAAGCATATTCAGTATTAATAAATTGTACTGCCATAAGCTGCGCAGGACTTGCAGCAAGTCAAACGTTGCTTGTTCGAGTCGGACATGACCCAAGGTACATCGGATACCGTGGTTCAAGGTGTATCCGATCCCATGAATCATTTCCGATATGTACCGTATCCAATCGAAGCTTCAAGGTCGAAGACAAGTGTACTTGTACCTGAAATTCAGGTCCTGAATTCACGCAAGAAGCGCTGGATCCCAAATGCAGGAAGTGTAGTGCCTTGAATCAATGAAAAATCAACACATGAAGTAGTACTACAGTATAGATTCATGCGTCCATGAAGTTGCTACTCAAACACGCTGCTCTGTGGGTAAATAGCACACCAAAATATGCGTATCCAAGCTGTATTTCAAACTCTGATTACTGGGGACGGGAGCGAGTACCAGGCCCGCTGAATATGACCACGTGCGGAGGAGAGGAGGCTCGACGCCTTTATAAGGGGCCGCGGAGCTTACGGCTTGGTCGTAATGGGGCACGGCGTCGTAGCCGAAGGCGTCGTCGTCTCCGGCAGCGACGTCACCGACGTCGGGCACGGAGTGGTGGCCTCAGGGGTGGTGGTCTCGGGCAGCGAGGTCACAGGGCACGGCGTCGTGGCAGCAGGCGTAGCAGCCGGCTCCGTCGTGTCGGGAAGCGACGTAGCCGGGCAAGGCGTCGTCGAGGCAGGAGTCGAGGTCGGGGCCTCAGTCTCAGGCAGGGACGTTACTGGGCACGGCGTCGTGGCAGCAGGGGTAGAGGTGGGCGCATCCGTCTCCGGCAGCGACGTCACGGGGCACGGCGTGGCCGTCGGCGCTTCCGTGTCCGGAAGAGAAGTTACCGGGCACGGCGTGGTCGTCGGGGCCTCCGTGTCTGGCAACGAAGTCACCGGGCAAGGCGTGTCAGGCAAAGAGGTCACGGGGCAAGGCGTGTCCGGCAGGCTCGTCACTGGGCACGGGGTGTCCGGCAGCGAGGTCACTGGGCATGGAGTGTCCGGAAGGGAAGTCACCGGGCACGGAGTGTCGGGCAGCGAGGTAACCGGGCACGGGGTGTCGGGAAGCGAAGTCACAGGGCACGGAGTGTCCGGGAGCGAAGTCACGGGGCACGGGGTGTCCGGCAGCGAAGTCACTGGGCAGGGCGTGTCGGGCAAGCTCGTCACTGGGCACGGGGTGTCCGGCAGGCTGGTAACGGGGCACGGGGTGCTGGAGGTGCCGCAGCCGACCGACGGAAGAACGCAGCCCCAGGTGTCGCCGTTGACAATGGTGCACTCGGCGTCTTCGGGCGCGACGCAGGCGCTGCCGTTCCAGGACGGCAGGTAGTCGTGGCAGTCGGCGATGGCCACGTCGCCCTTGAGCGGGCAGGCGGTGCCGGCTGGAGACGCGCCGGCGCCCGAGCACATGGCGCCGCGCGAGGCGAGCGAGTTGTAGGTGGCATCGCGGCACACCGACACCGGCAGGTCTTCCAGGCCGGCAACGGCGGCCACGGCCACGGCGGCGCACACGAGCGCGGCGAAGGTCTTCATACTTTCCGTAGTCGAACGAGTAGTGATCGGGCTCCGAAAAGTTGGCGCTGCTGCTGAATGAGGCTGAGCGCGAACGTGAGCTGGGTGTCGAATACGACGGCAAATTCGAAAGTGCGCGGCCGCAGGTGAGGTGCAGCCTGCAGACTACATCATGAGCCTGGTTCCCTCGCGGCCTGGGCGCGACTGCTCTGGCCGCACAGTTGTCCATGTGGACAGAGAACGGACATCCACATCCAAAAACCGACATAGACGGGTCCATCTGTCAACGAGGCAAACGGGACAAGATACACCCGCCATAGAATTTTCAAGTGAGCTCTTGCCATGCACGGCCAGATCGCGTTTGCAACTGCGCCGCGCCCGCAACCTGCTCCGCCTCGACGGAAACTGCGGCGCCCAACGCTGTGTCACTTGGTGAAATGCCTGCCGCCGCGCGACCAGCTTGGTGGCGGGTCTGGTGCTTGGTCTGAGGTGAGCCAGAGGTCTGGGCGCAGTGCGCTCCGGGTCGAGGATCGCGCTGGCACTTGCGAAAAGGCCTGGTGGCCGCCAGGTCCTCTGCGAGGATGAAGGCCTGCCCACGCTGTGGGTACAGTATGTACACACGTAGATTTTGGTGCGACAGCGAGCGATGAGAGAGATCCTGAACTCTTGCCCGCCAATCGGCCGCGAGCCGCAGTTGCAGGCTGCTGGGTTTTGTTGAACGTTTTTCCGACGGATGGACTTCGCGTCATGCGTTGAAGACATTTTCATGGCATTTCATTCTCACCCGGCAGAAACACGCCGCGATCGATGTGAGCTCGGGTTGATCTAACTGACAGACTGACCTGCGGACTCAACACCGCAGGGCCAACTCGGCAGTCTTCGGGCGTGCGCTGAAATGTACTGGTACCTCGCCGTCGTACCTGTACATGTGCAACCTTTCCGCCGCACTCTTCGCACTGCGAAGTTCGCAGGAAGATCTCTATGCTAGGTAGGTGCAACGGCGGCACGATGCTCACACCAGCACAGGTGTCTTCACTTCAGGTCCTCACTTCACATGAAAACTTGGGAGAACTTGGCACACAGGCACTCGCCCTTTGACAGTATACGCTACTACAAGTAGCGCAGCGCCATTGCTTACAAGCCCGACCGTGTGAATGCCGCCCTAACTTGTTGCCACTGCAGAGCTGACTAGGTACTACCTAGTAGGTAGGTGGTAAGCTTAGGTGAGACTTTTGGAAGCAGCGACAGTGAGTTATCCCGGTGTTTGCAAAATATCCGCGGAAAATCCGATGGACGGGCTACGTTTGTTTCACGTTGAAGTTGACGCGACAAAGGCAACTTTATGACACACGTCAAGCTCTGCCAAACTTTGCTCGGGGCGCCCACTTCCCTGCTGAAGTCCCTCGGTCCCGGCCACAGCCATCGAGCTTGCACATTCTCAATCGATGACTCATGCTCATGGATGCTAATGTTGTCGAGAGCGGGTCTACAGCCTAGAGTCAATCATTGCCCAGTTGCGAGTTCCGAGGCAACCCTTCCAAGGACTGCTATTACACCAGTCAACAGCGTTGAGCGTGGTTGCTGAGTTTGCCGGAGATACAGCGGCTTTCACCGGCATGTGTCGGTGCGGCATACTGTTTAACGGCTGACTCGGGTCCCACGGTGGTCACTTCCCGCTGAATGGCCTCCGTCTCCCTCGGCCACTTCAACGAGAGATTGCGCTGTGCAACTCGCACGGCAAGTTCTCGTCGGAAAAGCTTTGCCCGCGCGTCAACTCTTGCGTCAACGATCAGCAAGGGAGGGCTGATTCAACTCTCCTTCACCTCCCGGCTTTCGCCGTCGTTCTGCAGTACATGTAGATGGACCAGGCTGTGCTGGGTGCCCTTGGCGAGGGAGGTGCTTCCCTCCTTCCTTGCTGAGCCGGTCTTTGTTGCAGTCGAACAGCGTGAGGTCCGCACTCGCTTGGCCGCTCCTGCCCGATCGAATCCGCTCCAAACCGATCTGTTCACTATTCAATTTGCCTTCCAAGCGACAAATCCAAGCCAAGCTTCAAGCTCCCACCCCCACGCCAAACTCCACGATGAAGTCCTTCGTTGCCGCCGTTGCCGCCCTCACCGCGCTCACGTCCCAGGCCTCCGCCGCTACCTGCGGCAGCGCCGTGCTCTCGGCCCTGCTCACGAACCAGTATATTGACCAGTGCGCGTCGGACTCTGGCTACGTCTTCACGGCCGCCACCAAGCCCAACCAGGAGACGGTCGACAAGATGTGCGCCTCCGCCGCCTGCAAGGGCCTGCTCGCCGACGCGCAGGGCATGGACCTGACGGAGTGCACGCTGCCGGTCGGTGACAACATCAACCTGATGGCCGACCTGATCGACTACGTGCCGGCTCACTGCCCGTCGACCGAGGCGCCCAGCACCGAGACCACGGACGCCCCCGCCGCGACTACAGCCCCCACGTCGTCGGCGACCGACGCGCCGACCGTCACCACGGCCCCTTCGACGGGCGAGTCGACCCCGGCCACTGCTGCCCCGACCAAGGCGGCTGCCACCTCTTGCTAAGCGCTCCTCGCCGGATCGACTCGCAGCCAGCCGAGTACTTTGCTGCCTTTTTGAGCTCCGTCTTCGCCTCGCCCCAGTTATGAAGGTTGTTTAGGCTTGCATGTCGTAGTCACTAGGAAGACCCGGGTCGTTGTGTATGAGCGAACGCGTTAATCCTAAGAATGAACTACTTACTCACTTTGTGAACCGTAAAAATGTTGGCAGATTTTGCCTTTTCCACTTGGGTTTTGTAGACAAGGATTGACACCACGGCCATGATCTCGAACACCGCAAAAAAGCGCCGTCTACCGGGCCATGCCATAAAATACTACAGTAAGCATTTCTTGCGGATGATTTCGGTGTCCAGCGGGTCAAAAGATCTGTCGGGAGCGGCCCACGACGTTGAAGGCGTTGAAGACGCCAACGAGGACATGCGACCTGGACGTCGCACTTGGCAGCTCCTAACGATCCTTGCAGCTCTTTCCACTCCCGACTTCGCTCCATCAGGTCCGCACGTCGAATTGACCCGCCCGAGGTGACAAGAGGTGATCTTGAGACCTTCCTGGCTGCCGGCCGAGGATCGATTTTTGGCCGCTCAGCTCATTTATCACTTTTCAATTTGCCTTCCCAGCGACAAATCCTCCTCCTCCTCCACCACCCCCACTACTCAAGTCCTTCGCCGTTGCCTTCGCCGCCATCGTGTCGACCGTCTCTGCCGCCAGCAGCAGCGGCTCGTACGCCGACTGCTCCTCGTCGGTGCTCTCGGCGCTGCTGACGGACCAGTACATCGACCAGTGCGCCACCGACTCGGGCTACGTGTTCACGGCCGCCAGCATCCCGACCAGGCCACGATCGACAAGATGTGCGCTTCCTCCGCCTGCCAGAACCTGCTCGCGGACGTGAAGGCCATGGACCTTTCGGAGTGTGTCATCCCCGTGGGCGACAACATCCTGCTGCTGGCCGACCTAGTGGACTACGTGCCTGAGCACTGCCCATCGTCCTCCTCGGGATCGACCACGAGCAGCACGTCGACAGCCACGACTGCCCCCACGACTACCACTACGACGTCGTCTGCTAGCAGCAGCACCACTGCCACGGAGACCCCTTCGACGACGACGGCTACTACCTCGAGCACCAGCTCGACGGCGACCTCGACTACCAGCACGACTGCTGCTACTTCGTGCTAAGCGACCCGAGGGGCAACGAGTTAAGCTTGGCTCAACTCGCGGGCCCGAGAACTCGCTACGGGCGAGATATCACCATGTCCATCTTCACTTTTGCGTCAAGATTTTCCAGGGTGCTTCAGCGCGTATAACTACTGTAGCTAGCAAGTAGGTTGGCTCCCAGTATTTGCTGTTGTAACTGTCTGAAAATACACTTGGGCTTTTAGCTAAGCTCTGGTCTACTTTCTTGTAGCTTTTCTACACTAGCGCGAATGATGCTCAGAATCCAATTACTACTGCAGTAGGTATGACGCCGCAGTGGGCAAAGTAGAGCTAATAGCGACCGTTGCTGTTGCGCGCTAATAGTTAAACTGACGACAGTGCTAGGATAGTCGGGACTATCGTGTCAAGACCATTATTTGTAAATACAGGTTCCAGATTGTTGCCTGTAGGAATCTATCTATGGAGGAGTTCCTCTGTTTGTAGTCCGCAATGGTTTGTTCGGCCACCACTTACTGTAGTGCGGAAGACTGAAGACACTACAACCGGTAGCCTCTCCAGTCAAGGCTTGACTGACGCGACCGAGTCACAAACAATGTCCGCGGCATGTTTCCGGGCAAGAAAGCGAGAGCTTCGATCAGACCGCCGGTCCAACCTTGGCGGGATGGTCTTCAACGTGTTGAAGCAGGCGTGAACACTGTTCACTGAACAGGTCAGCATGGCATGTGCAAATCCGCTGCGAGTACTATACTGGAACTTTGTATGGGGCTTTGGATTTTATCCAGAAAATATCCAAGATTCCGCCGTTATGCAACTCTTGAGCGAGTCATCACAAATTGAACCACTCTGAACGCCAGACCGGATTTTAACGTGGGCCGCTTTCCCGCGGGATGACACGTTCGCGACTGGATGCGATCTTTGGGTGTATGTAGGCCAGCCACCAGTACATGTAGGCAGCGAGTCGCAGCATTCTCGTGGATGACCCCCTGGCTCAAGTGCGGGTGTACATGTACCTCAATCACGTGTACCTAAGCTGTGAGAGGGCCCGCGATCGCCCTACTGTAGTGACCTATAGACGAGCTACATGTACAGCTTGGCGTTGGTGCGTTCTCGCAACTGTTTTGACTATTAGGACAGGTGAGTGCATTATCCCCTCGGTGGCTCTGTTCAGCAGCGTTGCTTGTCTTACAAAAGTGTTACTACAGGATAGGACCAGGTCGCTGCGGGCTCGCACCGCCGTGTCACGCGCGCGATCCAGACTGCTACACGTGTACAGATCTCACTTCCGAGACTGCTAATAACAGATGACCTCCATTATTTTTGGTACTTTCAAATATTAGGTTTAGTAGGGAAGTTTCGCGCGCGCGCGAAATGCACTCCTGCACGATTCGTTTGGTACCAGACAATGAGCGCCAATCGAGCATTTGCTGCGGACGGAGCACGCCAACAAGCATGGCCAAGCGGACACCATAACAAAGAAGACCTACGACCAAGGTAAGCGTCGCAAGCCTCTCAAGGTGGAGGCGAAGGCTGGATCGAGAAAGCAGAGCAGCGCGTGTGCATTGAGATCGAAAGGTCGTCACGAGGAGAGCTAACAAGCTGCGCTTGGAGGTGGGGGGGCACGCTGAACGAGGGCGTGTCTACAAGTTGGCTGGTAATGTTTCTAAGCAGGTATGAGCTTCGCATTTGTCTAAGACGTCGGGAAGCGACTCAAGCAACGCAGTAGCGCCAGAAGCTGGGGTAGACGACGCGCGCGACGCGCTCTGCTGCCAGAAGATGATCCAAACAGTATCCTTAAGTAGTCTTAACGAGTCTGGTGAGGTCGACGAAGGCGCACAAACCGGGGGCCTAGACGAAGACGTACATGTAGTTGCCGACATGCTTATTGTGGCATCGACCCAAGTAGAGGTCGCTTCCCCTGCAGCAAATTATACAGTGCACAAAAGGTACATGTACCTAACATATGGTGTCGGAAGTGGCGGTATATTCTGTACTCAGATGTGAGCGAGGCGTGACAAAGCTGGTCGGGCGTCGCACTCATTCCTGCTCCAGCGTTGAAGCCCCGCACACGGTGCGACTCCAACTTCTGTTCGTGAACACTGTTAAGCGAGCTTCAAGCAGGTGGTGAGATGGGCGCACTCGATCACGTGGCGTCGGAAAGACACCAAGCTTGACACGAACGGGCCGGAAAACGCGTAAGATTTTCAATCAGGACGATAACAAACTGCAACTCGTGTGCCGCTAGCAATGTCACTCGCCTTTGCAGTCAGCTCTGCCGTGCAGAACGCATCTTCAATGGTTGACCATGACACAACGTACTTGTGCATGCGCAGCCACTTCAACTGAGCGGGTTTGCTATCTTGTTTGCTGTTGCCTAGCTGCCCTTCTCGACGGACCCAATCTCGTCGTTGAGGCTCACGTTAGTCGCTTCTTTTTGCCTTCTTGCTTCAAATATTTTGTTCGTTGCCTCGCCCTCGTCTCCCCAGCGCGCAAGCGCTGCATGCAGCCTTACTTCTCACTGCCATTTTGTGCTCGATCACTTGTCAATTTTCTTGGTGCTGCAACGAGCAGGGGCCCCCAGCAGCTACAAAGGTTCTCCGCCTGGAGATGAAGCTCCTTCTCATCGGCGCGGTGGCTGCCGCGCTGGCTCAGTCGACCTCGGCGGCATCATGCGCGATCTCGACGCTCTCCAATCTGCTTACGAACCAGTACATCGACCAATGCTCCGCAGACTCCGGATACGTCTTCACGACGGGTGTCAAGCCCGTCCCGGCAGAGGTGGCTGGTATGTGCGCGTCGGACGCGTGCCACAGTCTCCTGGCTGACGTGGTGGCCATGGACCTGACCGACTGCACGCTGCCTATTGGCGACAAGATCTACTTGTTCGCCGACTTGGTCGACTACGTGTCAGACCAGTGCGAGGACGAGGAGATTCCCGTTCCAACCACCGCCACGCCCCAGCCGACGACGGCGGCACCAACTCCGGCACCCACTGCAACTACCCCGGCACCGACGACAGCCATCGCTTCATGCACTTCAACCCAGCTGAAGTATCTGCTGACTAGTACCTACGAGAAGCAGTGCATTGCCGACACGGGCTATCCATTCACTTCACCGTATTCGCCCACCGATGCCCAAGTTGCCGCCATGTGTGCATCCGAGTCATGCGTCAATCTCTTTGCTTACGTCGGGTCAATGGTGACAACCGACTGTCGGATTCCAGTAGGCGGTAAGATTCTTCTTCTTGCCGACTTAGTATACTATGTCTCGGACCAATGCAGTCCGTTGACCACTGTACCGACCACGACAACCCCGGCATCAACGACCGCAGCACCGGCAACGCCGACAGCGACAACGGCGACGCCCGTGGCGGCGTGCGCCACCAAGACCATTACGGCGCTGCTCACGGACAGCTACATCGACCAGTGCGCCTCCGACTCGGGGTACGCGTTCACGTCCGGCGTGCAGCCCGACGCGGAGGAGGTCGCCGGCATGTGCGCGTCGAGCGCGTGTGCCAACCTGCTTGCCGATGTGGAGGCGATGGGTCTGTCGGAGTGCTCGCTGCCGATCGGAAACAAGATCTACCTGTTCCGAGACCTCGTGGACTACGTGTCGGACCAGTGCAGCGGGTCAACCACCACTGCACCCTCGACAACAACGACGGCCCCGGCAACCGCAGCACCGACAACAACGACCCCGGCATCAACGACCGTAGCACCGACTACCGAGACGACCGCACCGGCAGCGGAGCCGCCCGTGACCTCAGCGTCTGGGTCTGGTTCGTTAAATGGCGAATCTCCTAGTACTGATGCTCCAAGTACTAATTCTTCGAGCGCCGCATCATCAGCGACTGGTTCTTCTGCTACGTCGACGTCTGGCTCGGAGTCGTCTAGTGCCGAATTACCAAGTACCAGCACTCCCGAGACGGAATCTCCCAGCACGAGCTCCCCGTCAACACCGAGTTCATCCACCAATTCTTCGACAACCGACGACACCCCAGAGCCAACAGCACCGACGCACGAAGCGTGCTAAGGCAGCGTCGACTGAGAAATGATGCATACCAGCCTCCAAACCTGAGTCAGTCATTCCAGGGATAACACAAAAAACAATTGAGTTTTGTCTGCACTGCACGACACTGCGCGTCACTCTTCAGTTCTTTGGTATCGCCTTCCACTTTGAGTCAGGCAACATGAGGGACTTGTCGAACAGGAGAGCGACGTCGTCCAGACTCCCTAAGAGCGCCAGCATCGGTGTCAGCATGTCGGACTGGGCCAGCGCGCTCGTCACGCGGTTGCAGTCGCCGTCCCAACCAAAAATCGTTGACCCGTACAAAACAATCTGTTGGCCAAGTATCCTGTCCGCAATCAACGCCTTCTTGGCTCCAGCGGCTCCGTCTTCGTCGCTACGTAGATGCGGAAACACGTAGCGCAGCGTTTGGTCGGTGATAGTGATGCTCGCCTTGGTGGACGCTACCACCGAGTCTCCTGGACCCTTGAGCAACGCCAGGAGCTCCACATCCACGTCATCGAACCAGCGCGCGCGGCCTTTCCAGCTCTTGAGCATCGTCTCAGCGCCGCGCCCTCCATTGACCTCCACATTCTGAGCCATGGTTGCGCGCATGAAGTCTAGCTGGACACAGGAACTCGTAGTCAACGGTGAGTCTGGGACACCATACCGGAACAGTCGGAAGTACTCCACCGCCACACCCCAGACGTTAGCTTCCCTGGGCGTAACTTGGAGCGGGGTGATGCTGACGCGGCTCTGCTCCAGTCCTGCGATCTCTTCTCGAACCTTGCGATTGTCTTCCACCAGCCTCGCCAAGAACTCGTTTTGCCTCTCCCTGTAGCGCGTCTGGTTGATTCGGTGGCGTTCTCGCTGGTAAACTAACCAGGAAGCTGCGTCTCGCTTGTCCATGTAATGGGCCTACTTTGGCTCACTACTTTAGCTTACACGTGTGCGCGTGTATGTGAGGAAGCGTAGCTTAGTTTAAATTAGTTAATTATACTCGGGCCTCCGAGTATAGATTAATCTAAATAAACGATCCAAATAATGTTTTTGGGTTAAAATGAGAACTGCTATTTTTGTTTTATGTTTCTGACTTCCTCTAAATGTAATATCTAAGATAGGAATCTGCCAACGGCTGGTTGGCAGAATTCCAATGCTATGCATGTCACTCATTGGCTAAGAGATGCTGCTCTCAGCCAATAGGAACCCTAAGTCTCTATGGACCACCCGTCGTGGTGGTCGTAAATGTATGTAGCCTTTGGTGTGTCTACACCAAGGTCGAGAAAGTCTTTCAAACCTCTAACAAACGTCGTATCTGTTAGAGTTACAAGTGACTGTAGCCACTTGTGCGTGTAACCCTGTTACACCATCCCCCCCCTCAAGGTTAGACGCGCCGAGTCACGGCACGTCAATCAGGAACTGACCATTCGTCAATTCTTCACGTTGGGAGAAAGAAAACTCGAGCTCATTCCGCAATGAGCTCGCCGCAGAAGAAGACCGCCGCCGCAACAGAGGGTAACCTCTCTGTTGCTCAGTACCATGAGCGCCAGCAGGCAAAGCGCGATGCGCTCGCTGCAAAGGCCGTGTCGGGGACAACCCAGTCGGAGATTGTCCTCGAAGGTTCCTCTGTAGTCAACGACGCCGTTGACTACGAAGACGATGACGTGGAGATGGAAGATCTTCTAGCAAGCGCAAGGAGTCTATCGACAGCGATAGTCTCGACCCGCATGCCGGGTCGAGACGCCCTCGTGAAGGAGACGACTCGGACGCTTCGAGCTCGAAGCGTTCGCGCGGCGAGAGCGACACTCCGCTCTCTGCTGCTGGGGCTTTAAGCTCCCCGCGTGAGGTGGCGTCTTCAAGTTCTCCGCGCGCTGCTCAGGCAGCGCGCGATCCGTGGATGCCGTCTGCGTCAGAGATCGCAGACCGTGTGGGCAACACCGTGCCTCCAAACGAAATCCCGCTGTACGTATGCAGCGGCATCCACGACGATGCTGTGGCGGAGGAGCAGCACTTTGATCCGTTAACGAATCAAAGGCGCGATTATTACATCGGGCTCTTCCACGAGCTCCGGTACTTCTCCAGCAAGAAGACCTCTTCTCGCAGCAAAGTGCCTGAGTGGCAGGCACTTTGTCAAAGTTGGAATGCTTTTGTTGAGAACTTCAACAAGAAACCGGCTGCTTACCGCGAGCGGGTTAAGCATGCCCGTGAACGCTTCGAGACATTCTCGACGCGCGGGAGGTTGGAGCAGCTCCATAGATCTTCTGTGGACGCTGGTATTCCATGCGCTGCGCCCGAAGGCCAACAGTGCACGTTGTGTCTTCCGGGTGCGGCGCGCTTGAGCGACCGCGACCTAAACGGGTACACGATGATTCGTGTACCTGCGAGTCTCAAGGATCTCCGTGCCAAGTTCTTGGCACGTGAGGAACGCGACGATCGTGGGGCCTCGGGCGCTGTAGGTGACCACAGCGCTCGCACTACCTTCGCGTCGGCAGTGCGTGATGAGCTTCGTACTCCCTCACCATTTCCGGAACGTCCTGCAGCAGGACGTCCCGTGGCTCCCATGTATCTTGGTGGGGCGGAAACCCTCTCCAACGAATACGATAACGAACCGGCAGCCGGTTCGTTTTCGGGATACTATGGTTCACAATACGCTCAACAATCCAGCGTGTTGAGCCGCGGGCGTCGCGGATCAGAGGCGGCGGTGGTGGGAACACGCCCCGGGTATGGTCAACCTGGGGTTGACCTTGGCCCGACACTCGAGGAGCGGGTCGCTGCTGTGGAGCAGCTTCAGAGCCGTGAGTTCGCCGCTCTGAAGCAGGAGATGGCGACCCTGAGAGCTCAAGTTGCTCAGGCCTCGCAGACCGCGTCGGACATCTCTGTCGACGTGGGAGGTCGCGTCGCACGCTTGGCCCAGCGCGTTCACGCGCTGGAGCAGAGGTTCGCTCCCGCTGGGGCTTCCGCTTCGGGCCAGCCGAGCTAGGTGGCTCGTGCTGCCGGTATGGCTTCAGCCGCCTGACGTAAAAGGTCGGATGGAGGCGCATGCTAGATGGAATATCTAGCGTGTAGGCGTTGCCATGCCGTGCCAACACCGTGAACGGCCCGATGAAGCACGGAGCGAGCTTGCTCGCCCCGAAGTCGGAAACTGCATGTTTAGGCAGGTTTTGAGTTGTTAACAAATCCAATGAACCCTTCTTGAATTCATTAGTGTTGCCCCTACCAACATTGTCTGCGGTCAGCTTCTGTCGGTCGACAGAAGCTGCGATAGCGTCTTGGACAAACCGAATGACGGCTTGTCTGCGCTGCACGAAGTTGATTGCGTCCGAGCTGAACTCGTTCAGCTCGTTTCTCGCAGTAGGCCCGGCCTCTGCGTTCGTCTTCGCGGTGTCTGTGCCCTGCACAGACCCGTTCTTCTTCTTCTTTTTGCTCTTGTCGGCGTCTGTGCCCTGCACAGACGCGTTCTTCTTCTTCTTGTTGCGCGTAGTCGCGGCTGACACTGCGCAAGTGTCAGCGGCATTCTGCGGCTGCTGTGTTGCAGTCGTAGATCCTCCCCCACTTAAGAAAGGAGCCACCATCCCGAGTAGACTCGGGAGGCGTGGGTGCCTGATGGCATTCACGTAGAACGGTGTATGCCCGGTCGAGGCATGCACCGAGTTGTTGATGGCGAACTCCGCCATCGGCAGGCACTCGCTCCAGTGTTGGAACGAGTGAGCGTAGCTCTTGAGCACGTCTACGAGCACGCAGTTCACGCGCTCGGTCTGCCCGTCCGTCTGCGGATGGTCCGCAGTCGACATCGAAAGTTGACTCCCAAGAAGTGTAAACACTTCTTGCCAAAGGTGTGCAGTGAAGCGCGGGTCTCGATCCGACACAATGTCGATCGGCATGCCATGGTGTTTGAACACCATGTCAACGAACAGTCGCGCCGTCTGTTTCGCAGTCACTTCAGCGGGTACTGCAGCAAGATGTACCATCTTGCTGAAGCGGTCAACAAAGACCACAACGCCCGTGTTCCCGTGGCTGTCCGGGGGAAGACCGAACACGAAGTCCAAAGACATGGACTGCCAACACTCCCGTGGAGTTGGTAGTGGCTGCAAGGGAGCCTGCGCGAAAGGCGCAGGCTTCACACGTTGACAAACCTCGCAAGCACGGACGTACTTGCACACCCATTTATACTGGTGGGCCCAGTAGAAGTCTCGCGTGAGAAGAAGGTATGTCTTCTCACGGCCCGGATGCCCCGCAGTCGGTGCATCGTGATACTCATACATGATCCTGAGTCGCAGGTCATGGTCATTGGGCACGACAACGCGGACCGCGTTGTCGTCGACTGCACTGTAGAGTAATAACCCGTCGTGCACCCGATAACGGTGTGCACGAGCACGAAGATGCTTCGGCAGCTTCTGACGAGCTTTGTCAGAAGGCGCTGAGCCGTAGGCCAGCAAGAGCTTTGCGTCCGCGTCGTGCGCGAACGCGACCTTCACGTCGTCCAACAGTGACGACGTTGGGGTACTCGATCGCATGGCGTCAATGGCATTGACGTCGGCATCAGTCGTGGCGTAGTCCGGTCGACGCGAGAGCGCGTCGGCCACCACATTGAGTCTTCCGGGTTTGTACTCAACCCGGAAGTTATACTCTGCGAAGAATGAGAGCCATCTCGCCATCCGTTGCGAGATGTGCGGCGTCTTCACAGCCGTCCGCAACGACGCGTGGTCCGTATAGACCACGAACGGTTTGCTTCCGAGTAGATACACTCGGAACTTCGCGAGTGCGTACTTCATGGCAAGGAGCTCCTTATCATGTACCGGGTAGTTGCGCTCAGCTGGCTTCAGCTGACGCGATTGGTAGTAGACGACACGATCACGACCCTCGTGATCGTGCTGCATCAACGCACATCCGATTGCGAAGTCGGATGCGTCACACACAACGTGGAATGGGCGATCTTGGTCGGCCACCGCCAAGATCGGCGCCTCAGTCAAGCCCCGCTTGACTGCATCGAAGGCCTGCTGACACTCAGCAGTCCCAACCCACTCGGCGTCCTTCTTCAGGAGCTGTGACAGCGGGCGTATCATGCCCGCGTAGTCCTTCACGTACTTGCACAAGTACGTGGCCAAGCCAAGGAACTGCCGCAGTTCCTTGACGTTCGACGGCGTCGGCCACTCATTGATCACTCTGACCTTCTCAGGGTCAGGGCGGACACCGTTCTTCCCAACGAGACACTCGAGCACGGGTATCTCGCTCGCCTCGAAGATACACTTCTTCAGGTTCGCATAGAGCTTGTGCTTGCGCATGAGCGCAAGCAGCTTCCGGAGATGCACCTTGTGCATCTCAACATCGCTCATCCCGTCCGCAGCCCGGCTGTGGACGAACACATCGTCGAAGTAGCTCGGTGCGAAGTCGCGCACCGAGCGCAACAAGTGCGTCACGCACCTGTTGAAGGTCGCAGGGGCGTTCTTCAGACCGTGCGGCATCACTAGCCCCTCCCAGAGCATGCCGCTCGGCGTGCTCACTGCCGTGAAAGGGATATCGCTCTCACGCATGGGGATCTGATAGAACCCATCGCGCAGATCAAGAGCACTGTAGATAGTGCTCCTGGCCATCGAATCGATGATAACATCTTTTCGAGGTATCGGCGTCTGCGCCGGTATCGTCGCATCGTTCAGCTTGTTATACGCATGAACGATGCGCCAGCCGCCCTGTGGCTTCTTGACACAGAACGTCGGAGCACTGTGCGGGGATTTCGATTCCCGCACTTGTCCAGCTTTGCGACGACTTTCGAAGAAGTCGTCGATCGCTTTGACCTGCTCTCGCGACAGTGGCCACTGCCGCGTGACACAGTACTTCGTGCCCGGCACGAGATCAATCTCGTGCTGGATTCCCTTGTCCTGTGGAAGCTCCGCAGGAATCTCTTCCGGAAGTACGTCCGCGTACTCCCGTAAGATCTCGTAGTAGGGACTCGTTTTCAACGAGTCCCAGCTCTGCTCTTCAAAGCGCTCCTTCTTCGTCTTCGCACTGAGAGTGTCCTCGCTCTCAGTGGTGGTCTCCATGAAGAACTGCCTCAGTTCTTCATTCTCGCTCTTCGTTCTCTCGGCGTCCGAGAGAATGCATATTTGCTCGATGCGTCCATCGTGCAAGTCACGCGCGAAGCGCTTCCAGCTCAGGACTGGAAGCGAAGTCAACTCCAACGCTTGCGTCGGAGGGTTAGCGAGAGTCATCTCCCTGTACCGGAACCTTGCACAGGTACGCGTCAAGACGTTCAACGTCTCAACGTCCGGCTTCTCAGCCTCCGTCTGCCCGGCAGACATTCCTTGTAGCGTCTCGGCCCCAGGCCGAGACTTGCGCAGCGACCTCCGTCTTCTTGTTTTGCGGAGCCCGGCTCCGCTTGGGTCTTGACCTCGTCCAGGCCCAGCCGTGGACGGGTGTTCTTCTTTAGTACCGCCGGCGGGTTCATCCCGCGGGCGAGCGACTTCAAGCCCGGCTTGGTCGCCCGGCGCTTCGTCGTGCAGCCGGGCTGCACGACAGCATGCAAGTTTTTCCGGTGCGGGACGTTTACAACCGTCCGCACCGCCTGCAGCGTCGGCTCCCGGAGCCGACACGCCATCTTCACCTCGACGCCTGTTATTGGCGGAGCCCTCCATTACGGAGGGTGCGTCGGCTCCCCGAGCCGACGAATCAAATTCACCCAAGCCATCGACTCCCGGAGTCGACGGCGTTACGTCACCTTGGCTCTTATTATTAGCCAGACCTGATCCAATCAGATTCGCGTCAGCCTCCACGGCTGAGGCGTGTGACTCGTCCGCGTCATCCATGCCCCTTGAGGTCGGAGACTCTTCCTGATTCGCTGAAAAGCGGGTGTCGATCTCCGAGATCAACACATTTTCTCCTTCAGCCGTCGGGGGCGACGCCGACGCTTGCTACTCTTGCGCGCGTGCTCGCGCGCGACCAGGGCGTTCCGGGACAGCGGCATTAGGCGCTGTCTCGAGTGGGGAGTCGCGCGCACCTGTCGGTGCGTGCGTAGCGGCAACAGGGCCATCGCTCACTGTTCCGCTGTCGCGACCGAAGCGCACGAGAGTGCGCTTCTCCCAATCGATGACCGGATCATGTCGTGCAAGCCACGGCATGCCCAATACAATGTCAAACTTATCGCCCAGATCCAGGACGATAAAGGTCTCGACAAACTCTTGATCTTCATACGTGAAGCGCACGCGTACCATGCGCTTCTCGGCCTTCACGACGGCACCCGTTGCCAGCCGTACTTCCAACATACTTCGAGGTATCTTTAAATCCTCGAAGTCAAGCCTTGATAGACTTCGCAGTCGAACAAAGTTCTTCGACGCGCCAGAATCTACCAAGCACGGAGAGAGCCGCTTGCTCTCATCGAGGTTACATTCAGGATGACAAGGTCAGACTTGTCATCTTGGTTCTTGCAGTTAGAATGAACCTCACTGGGGGCTGCAGTCCTCAGTGTCGCGTGTCCAAGGTCGACACGCGGAACTGCATTACCAGTAGGGCGCCCCGCGCCTACTGGCGTCCAGCGTTTTTTGTTTGGTTGCGACGGTGCCCGGCACCGCCGCGATAGCCACCCTGCTGATGCACGGGGGCCGTGCACTCCCGAGCAAAGTGACCGATTCTACCGCATCGGTAGCATCGCACATTGTTTCCTTGCAACTGCTGGGGTCCAGTAGTTGCAGCACTCGAGAGGTCCATGGGTTCTGGGCCTCCCGTCCGCACTACCGGGCGTGGCTGTGGCCTCGGCACATGTGCATGCAGCTTAGCCAGCCTGAGAGATGGGCTATCTCTTCCGTGAGTACCCGAGTACTCTCGAAGTACTCGGGTACTCACGGAAGAGATAGGTCTTTACAGGCCCATCTCTCAGCCCCTTCATGAACGTGACGACCTTGGTCGCCTCGTCGATCGGATTGGCCACGATGTTCGAGACCAAGTACCGTGCTCTCTGAGCGTAAGCATGGACATCATGCTTGCCCTGCTGCAGGTCGAGGAACTCCGCCCTCGACCGGAGCTCGTTTTGCGGTGGCTCAACGCTTGTCTGAGCTCTTCCTTGAAGCCCTCGTACGTGCTAAAGCACGTAGGATCCGAGAGTCGGCGTCCATACGCCCAACTTCTTGCACGTCCGCCAAGACATGACATGGCGAACGCGACCTTCGACAACGGTTCGACGATGCGTCGAGCCGCAATGGCAGTGTCGAGTTCGACAAGCCAACGGAGGAGAGGCTCACCCTCTCTTCCAACGTAATTGCTCACGCTGAGCTTCAGCGATTGCGCGCGCGGTGTCGTCCCCGACGACACCGTGGTAGACGAAGCAGCATCTCGCTGCTCCCTCATGATGAATCCCAGAGCAACACCATGTTGCTCTGTCGGCGTTAGCGTACGCACCATCGTAGCTACAGCCGCCTCACCAATGACTGTTGACAGTCGTTGGAGAGCTTCCCACTCTGGGTCCGACAGGTGGGGACAGTCAGCGCGTACAACGTGAGTTGCGGGCGTAGTGGAGCTTTCCATGGACACCTCCGTATCCATGGGAAGGTTCCCAGCTCCGCGTTCGTGCGGTGACGTACGAACTCAGGTAGTCGGTCGTTGGACGGACTACAAAGTGCTACCAGGTGTAATGGGCCTACTTTGGCTCACTACTTTAGTTACACGTGTGCGCGTGTATGTGAGGAAGCGTAGCTTAGTTTAAATTAGTTAATTATACTCGGGCCTCCGAGTATAGATTAATCTAAATAAATGATCCAAATAATGTTTTTGGGTTAAAATGAGAACTGCTATTTTTGTTTTATGTTTCTGACTTCCTCTAAATGTAATATCTAAGATAGGAATCTGCCAACGGCTGGTTGGCAGAATTCCAATGCTATGCATGTCACTCATTGGCTAAGAGATGCTGCTCTCAGCCAATAGGAACCCTAAGTCTCTATGGACCACCCGTCGTGGTGGTCGTAAATGTATGTAGCCTTTGGTGTGTCTACACCAAGGTCGAGAAAGTCTTTCGAACCTCTAACAGACGTCGTATCTGTTAGAGTTACAAGTGACTGTAGCCACTTGTGCGTGTAACCCTGTTCCAGTCCACGCCTGTATGCGCCGCCCCGCCTCGCTTGGGAAGGCTCCGCTCGTCTCTGCTTCTCTTCCTGTCTGGTAGTCGCAGCCCCGCTGGTACTTGAACGCCCTCATCAGACTTTGTATCGCTGCCGGTGGGGGACGATAGTGAAAGTAAGATAAATATCTTAAGGATTGGCATAGCCGGTGCTAATTTGGATTCAGCCTACGATATTCAAAGTGTTACGGTTCATCCGCATACGAATTAGCTAGAAACGAATGTCAGTGAAAGAATTATATATCACTAATCGTGATAAAAGTTTTGACTAGCTCTGTAACTTTGCTTAATCGGTAGGGCTTACGTATTTATATTGGCGCCGCTTTACTTAAATTAAGTATGTAATTTATTAACATAGCCTATGATACTAGGGCTCCGCGAAGGCTGGGATAGGAGGTTTTTGGGATAAACCTTTTTATTAGTTGTTTTGTTACGATCCACGGTCATCTCCTGCGCCTGCTTCGCAGCCGCAGCATCTGCCCGGTAATTCATCTCAACGGCGAAGATGCAAGATACGACTTGGCAGTAATTATACACAGTAATGAAAAGAACCTTGCTCGAGATCTGCTTATAGCTAGTAGAGAAATGAAAATACTTGCCAGTGTATGCTACTAGGGTAGTCCGTCCGCTTCAATCATTCGCTTTACTTCACTCCATATATGTTACTGACTCATACCGGTTCAAACTGCCCACGCATATAAACCTTTTGGAGGCCCAGTGGGGCACCGGGGCCATACCGGTGTGATGGGTAGCCTACCGATTCGATCTGCCCAGTCAAGAGGGGTCATCGTTTGACTTGACGTACCACGGATATAATCCTATTTGGTCTGCGATAGCAGCACTAACGTTGCTTCCTATCCCAGTAAAACTGCTCCTAAACTTACATTCTTCTGTAGCATCGCCTACAGACCAACGGCCTCTTCCAGTTCGCGGTCAGCTCGCCGTCCGTTTGAGCTTAAATGCTACTTGCCAATACCACCAATTTCGGAAATTTGACAATATTTGTGATGAGTGGGGATGGTTTGGGGGTCGATCCATTACCGGAGAAACACGCTTCCACCTGGGTATGTTCCTGTTTTTTTGGGGTCTGAGTGAGCTCGATGAGTGAGCTCGATGCTTATCAAGCCACATAATTATCTGAAAATAGCTTGCCAACATGAATTCACCTCAGAAAACCATAGTATTTTTGTGGGGGATGGGAACGGGTCTTAACAGGGGTATAGTGGGGGAAATGGTCCCCATTTCCCCCAATTAGGGAGGCCTGGCCCATGAGTCGTCAGGCCTGTAAGTTTAGGCTTACTACCAGTACAGTACTCGGCGGCATCGATCGAAATCGGCGTCTCGTGTGCATCGATCGACCTTGGCCATTCAAGGAGCCCACCAATGAACCATAGAAGCAGACGGTGTTGTGTATTACTGTAATAACCCCACTTAGATTTGTCCTAGGAGATAGGACCAAATCGTGTTTTGGTGTGGCACACACCGCCGTTTTTGTCCTAGGGAGCCCGAAAAAGGACCAAAATGACTTGATATTTGTATGGGATGTTTTTGACCCCCCCAAAGGTGTGTCTTATAAGGCGCATCGGGCAGGGAAATCGGCGCTAAAGATAGCTCCAGCTGAGACCATACTGAAATCAAGTCAAATTTGTCCTAGGCTAGGACAAATCGGCAAAATTCGATGTTAGAGCCTGTTCGCTACGTAGCTGGAGATAGAGACGAAAACCAAAAGTGTGACCGGATTGGTCAAAAGTAGGTAGCACACAACAAGACAACTAGAGATGGCACTGTGAATTCGTCTCCAGCTCTTTGAGGTGGAGAGGGGCGGATCTACCTAGAGATTTACAGGGCCAGGCACAACATGGGAGACGAAGATGCAATTGTCCTCGCTGCGTGCTCCGCCGTGGCACAGGCTGTGGCTTTGTATGCAGACAGTTGCGAACCAGGACCTCCTGCTGGCAAGAAGAACCGTTTTACCGTCACCACTCTGCGCTTCGAGTCGATGCTTCAATCATCAGCCTATTCAAGCTGGTTCGAGACCAATCTGCGCTGTACGAGATCCACCTTCTTCCGTATAGCTAGCTTTCTACAAGATCATGGGGTCGCTTTCGCACAAGCTAAGGTCAAGTAGCATTCCTACGAAAAGAAGGTGGCAGCGGCGCTGTATTTCCTGGGCTCAGCGGGTGGATATCGCGAGGTGGGAGCTGCAATGGGCATGGCTAGAAGCTACGTCATGGAGATCACTACGGAGGTAGACGTTAGAAGCTCCTTTCGGACGAGACTTGCCTCGACCCTGTGCTGCTTGCGGTGCGGCCGAGGCTTGCAGACGCTCGAGCATGCGAGATGGAGCGGGAGTAGGCTCTGGCGTAGCAGACATCGCCACTGATACTTGAGCTAGCGGAACAAATGTGGACGCAGTCTCGGCGCCTTCTAGCAGCAGACCTTCATCACCGGCAGATGGTGTCAGCGAGACGAGGGGCTCGGACGCTGGCGTTTCGTCATGACGTGCGGGGGGCGCTAGAACCGAAGAGCCTTGAGCAGCGGCATGTGCCGCACGCGTGGCCGCACTGGTGAGGCGAGTCGGCATTTTCTCAAGTGGGGAGGAGAGCCATCCCATATCTGTCCTGTGATTGGCTTAAAATTTGTCTGGAGATGGATACATAGCGAACGAGCTGTAGGTGGAGATCAAGCACCATCTCCATCTCTAGTACAACGCGAACAGGCTCTTACAAGAGACAAGTTTTCAACGGCTTATATCTCGAGAAGGACAATGGAGGACGCTAAACCGATAAGACCACCAGGACAGCTAGGACGGGGGATTGTGCCCATGTAGTCACATGATCCTATTTGTTTCTAGTTATACGGAGCGAGGCGCCTAACTTTTGGTCCTTCCATTTGTCCTACGGATTGGGCTAAGTGGGGATAAGAGCGCGCAGCTTTCTCCTCAGTATTGGCGCTATCGAACAGCGTGCGAGGCGAGTATTTTCTTGTCATTCTCCTTTGCTGTCCCGCTTAAAGTGTCCTTCTACTTTAATGACCGTAAAAGATCACTAAGGAGGTCACTTTCCGTCGGACACCCATCCACCCATGTTGAACTCACACCACATCCTTCCAAGAAGCCAAAGCAGTCCGCAGCCTTCCAAGCGCCTCAACATGCGCGTCACTGACGTCGCCGCAGGCGGCGGCGCTGCCCCACCGCCCACCGCCCAAGCCGCAGCTCCTCCCCCGCAGGCCCAAGACGCGCGCCCAGCCGCAGCATCTACTGCAACAGCAGCAACTGAAGCCTCGGGCCTCTCCGCCGCCGTCCTAAGGGGCTGCGTGGGGGGCTTCTACCGCGCCGTGGAGCGCGTGACCAACACTCTGAGCGACGTGGAGCTGGCGCCGCCCCAGGTCGTGGTCGTGGGGCAGGCAAGTCGAGCGTGCTGGAGAGTGTAGCCATGTTGCCATTGTTCCCTCGCGATAGCGTCATGTGCACGCGGCTGCCGGTGCTGCTCAAGCTCCGGCACATGTCGCAGAGCGACGTTGAAGTGGCCGGCGACCCGGAGCTCATGCCGCACTGCAGCGCGCCGCCGCGCGCGGAGCAGATCCAGATGCACCTGCTGTACGCGGACGGCCGCGCGCCCGTGGCCTCGAGCGCGGGCTTCACGCGCGCGCAGGCGGCGCAGCTCATGCGCCAGTGGATGGACCAGATCGTGGCCGAGCAGCACGCGGACCGGCAGCTCCGCGGCGTCGTGGAGCACGTGCTGGAGATCGAGGTGGCGTCGCCCCACGTGCCCAATCTGAACCTATTGGACCTCCCGGGGATCGTGGCGGGCAAGCTCATTGACGAGCCGGACGACATGATGCAGCGCACGCGCGCCATAGTGGAGAAATATCTGCAGCTGCCCCACACGCTCGTGCTGGCCGTCGTGCCGGCGTCCGAGCGCGTGCGCAACTCTCAAGCCTTTCAATTGGTGCAGCAGTACAATCTAATGGACAAGACCATTGGCGTGCTGACGATGGTGGACCGCGCGCTGGATGACACGAACCCGGACGGACCGCTGGCCGAGGTGAAGAGCCGCCTGGACGGTACGTCGAGTGACATTGTGTTCTTGAAGCAGGGTTACGTAGCTGTGAAGAACCGCGACTCGCGAGCCAAGACGGAGATGTCACTGGAGGAGGCCAAGGCGGAGGAGAACGCCTGGCTGGAGGAGAATCTGCCGGGGTATATTGGCCGAGGACTGGCCTCCAGCTCGGTGTTGGTCATGAAGATTGAGAAAATGTTGGCGGAGCATGTACGTACGCAGTGGGTGCCTAAAGCACAGGCGAAGATCGAGACGGAACGCAAGCGCGCGGAGAAGAAGCTGGCGAGTATGGGACCCGACCCTCAAGATATTGTGAACGACTTTCTTGGGGTGTACCCGACTGCTGCGAGGAAGAGGGTGCTGGAGCTGGTTAAGCCTGTTCTGCCGGCCTTGATGAGCCAGGTTGACGAGGAAATATTGCGGCTCGCGGCACTTGTTCACGCAGATTTCCTCAAGTCGCGTGAAGAACATGAACTGATACTGGCTCCGTTTCAAGCCAAATCCAAGCTAAAAACCATGTTCGGTTCGAGTTCTGGGGGGTCGTTGATGGCAGCGTCACTGCTGATGATGGACTCCCACAACAGATATCTCACGAGCCACTTGGTCCAGATCCTGAAGAACGTGGTGCTTCACCTCGTGCGGCTCATCCAGAAGACGCTGGAGGCGTCGACACAGATCGCCCCATTGCGGGACCGCGGGCCGGGCCCTCTGGCGGCCAAGACGAGGCCCGGTCCGCCGCTTCAACCTCGCGTCGCTTCGCGGCGACGGCGAGCGGACGCGGGCCCGCGGACCGTCCGCCGGGCGGGACCGGGCCCCGTCCACCTGGCCTCACTATGCCAGGATCCCGGGCCTCTCGTGCGCCGCGCGGCACGGTCGCCACGGCCGAACAACACGGCCTCGAGGACGCGGCGCTTCGGCGAGGCGCGCGGAGCGACGGCTCCTGCGCAGCCCCCACGCCTGCTACGGACCCCCACGTGCGCCGTTTGGCTGCCCAAGACCCCCCGCCAGCCCCTCCAGCGCGCGCCGCCGCCGCAGGATCCCCCAGTGAGTTGGCAGGACCCGGCAGGGCGGCCGGCAGGCTGCCCGATTGGGTAGCGCCTGGGGCGGCGCTCGCAGCCGCCACTGCGCGGGCCCTGGCGGTCCGCCACGGGCCCAGCGACCTGGACGATGACAGCAGCGAGGACGACGACGGCCTCGCCGGCCCTGCCGCCGCCGGCAGCGGCCCCCAAGACCCCGCCGATGATGCTGGCCGACCCGGCAGGGCGGCCGGCAGGCTGCCCGTCGGTAGAGCGCCCGCAGCCGCCACGGCGCACGCTCCCACGGGTAGCCAGGGCCCCGACGACCTCCGCCGCACCCAGGACGACGACGGCGACGGCGACGACGAGGACGGCCAAGACGACCCCGCCGCCGCCGCCAAGCCCCGCCAGGACCCTGCGAGTGTGTTGCCCCGGCCCGGCAGGGCGGGCGGCAGGCTCGCCGACATGCCAACGCCTGGAGCCGCGCCGGCTGCGACTGCTGCAGCTATTGCTGAGGCGGCAGTTGCAGCTGACGCTGCGGCTCGGGCTGCCGACCAAGTCGCCGCGCAGGAGCCGGTGCAGACGACGTACGCACACAGCGCCACCGAGTTCAAGTGCAGCGTGTGTGCGTACGTCGCAGGCAACTTGGCTACGCTCGTCGCCCACCGCAGATCGGCGCACCGCGGCACCCGCTTCTCCGACATCTTCGACAGCGGGTGCGCGTGCAGCCTCGTGTTCCACTCGCGGATGGCGGCGACGAGCCATGCCCTCGCCTGCGCACAGCGCGCCTCGCAGGCGGCGCCTTCCCCCGCAGAGGCCATGGACGTTGACCAAGGCCGCGTCCGGCCCAGGCAGCGCCGCCCATCGCCTCGCCGACCCAGCGAGCGACGCCCGGACGGCAAGCGCCGCCGCCTCAACAGCGAAGACGACGCCGACGCCCAGAAGCCGGCCGAGCACCTGCAGCTCGCGGACGAGGACGGAGCCGAGAACCACACCCCGGTGCACACGCCATCAGCGGCAAGCGCCCACCAAGCTCCCGTCCTCGCCGTATACGTGCACAACGCGGAGCGCTTCACGTGCACGCTGTGCACGTTCACGGCAGCCAGCTTCAGCTCCTTGCAGAGGCATCGGACCACCCGGCACCGGCGCGCAGTCCTCCAGGACAAGTTTCTGGCGGGCTGCGCGTGCGGCACCCCCATTGCGTCGCGGCCAGCGGCAGCTAAACACGCGCAAGCGTGCGCCGGCCGTTCGACTGCACTTCCGGCTACGGCTCCGCCAGTGGCAGGGACATCAAGCCCCACCGATGCCGCAGCCACCGCCACCGTCGCGGCGGCCACTGTCACGCCCGACTCGCCCCAACCAGCAACCCCGGAGCTCGCAGCGCCCCCCCCGCTTGCGAGCCCCACTCATCCCGAAGTTGTTGAAGTGCAGGAGCAGCCGAGCCAGGGACGATGGGGGCCAGCGCTACCCCGAGCTCTGGTCGCTGAACGTGTCGCCGCGCGCCTTGGTGCCATTCCAGCACCACGCTGGGAACCTCCGCTGCCCCGAGAGCTGGTGTCCACCCGCATAGCTGCGCGTCTCGGTGAGGTTCCAGCGCCTCGCTGGGGCCCACCGCTGCCGCGCCGCATGGTGGCGTCTCGGATCGCCGCTCGCCTGCTCCCACCAGAGCCGACGGCTGACGGCGAGACCAAGGAGGACACCCCGGCGGACGGAGCCGACCTGACGGCCAGGGACGCAAACCAGGAGAACAACCCGGCGGCCGCACCCGACCGGACGGCGACAGCGGCGGCGATGGACATGGACAGCGGCGCCGACGGAGAGTGGCTGCTGCGCTTCGACGGCGCCTGCCGCGCCAACCCAGGACCCGGCGGAGCTGGTGCAGCGCTGTTCAAGCCCGACGGCTCCGTGGTGTGGACGTGCTCCCACTACATGCCGAGCAGCAGTGAAACGAACAACACTGCCGAGTACTCGGCGCTGCTGCTCGGGCCGAGAGCCGCTGCCGACCACGGAGCGACGTCGCTGTGGGTGGAAGGCGACAGCATCCTTGTGATCCAGCAGGTGCGCGGCATCTTCGCAGCGAGGAACGCCGTTCTACGCCGCCTCCGCGACCACGTCAAGGTGGAGCTCGCGCGGGTGGGGAGCTTCTCACTCCACCACATCGACCGCCAAGCGAATGCCCATGCCGACCGCCTGGCCAACCGAGCCCTCGACCTCCGCCGGACGATGATGGAGTGCGGTGTTCACACGGCAGGCGACGGCTGTACGAACACGACGCTGGACCCTATGCCCGTGCTGCCGCCCCAGCCGACACCCCGCACTCCGCCTCCGACACCCGCGGCCGACACCAACATCGAGATGCAGGAGCCGGAGGACGAGGATCTCGCCGACATCGACGACGGCGAGGTCTATGCGGCCATGCGCATCGGGCCGGACGCAGTTCCGCAGCGTCGACCCCGCCTCCGACTACGCCAGCTCACCGAAGCTGAGGACGACGCTGCCCGCGAGATGGTGGAGCGGCTTGGCGCGACGCTGGCGGCCAAGATCACTGACGCCAGTGACTGGGAGTCGGCGGAGGGCTACATCACAGCCCTCCCGCACCTCCTGTACGACAAATTGCAGCCGTACTCCCAGGCCCAGCGACGCCCCGAGCCGCGTCCCCAGCGACAGCGACAGCAGCACCAAGGCAGCCAGTGCCCGCGGCAACAGCGGCAACAAGGCGAACAGCGACGGCAGCGCCCGCTGCACGACCAAGGGCAGGACCGCCGCAGCCTGGAAGGCGATGCACATGGAGACAACGAGCGCGATGGCGACGCCAGTCAGCAGGACTCGGCGCGACGGAGGCAGTGCAGGCGCCGCGGGCGCTCTGGTGCAGCGAAGCGGCGACGTCGCCGCCGCCCGCCGCGGGTGACTCGACACCACCGCGAGCACCGCCTCGACGAGGCCTTGGACGACCTCCACGCCGTGGAGCAGGCTTCGCCCAGAGACCGCACTGCTGTTCGCCGAGCCCGCCGCCGCGTCGGCCGCGTCAACTCGGCCATCGACCAACAGCACCTGCGTCACCGGTTCGACACGGACGAGAAAGCCTGCGTCGAAGACATCCTGGCCAAGGCACGCGCGCAGCGGGAGACACCAAGGACAGCGGCCTCCAGCGCCGGCACCGCATCGGACCCAGCGGCGCCAGCGGCAGGCGCTACAGACGACGGTACCTGCCCCATTCCGGGCGATGAGCTCTGGCGGTACTTCGACGGCGTCAACACACCCAGCCAGGAATTCGCTCCTGACGCCCCGGCGGGTGCTGCCTTCCGCTCCGCTATGACCCACCTGCCTGCCGCGTCGAGGTTCAGGGAGCTGCTCACGGAGGCGCCGACACAGGACGATATCGAGTCACAGCTGCAGCACGCCCACGGCACCTCCAGCCCCGGCCTCGACGGCGTCGGCTATGACGTGTACCAGCACTTCGCCGCGCAGCTCCTGCCCGTGCTCGCCACCGCCTTCCAGAAGTGCTGGGAGGCGAAACGTGTGCCCCAGAGCTGGAAGCTCGGGGTGGTGCGGCTGCTGCACAAGAAGGGCGCGCGCGAGGACCCGGCGAACTGGAGGCCCATTTGCCTCCAGCAAGCCATCTACAAGCTCTACACGGGGGTCCTCGCGCGGCGGCTGGTACGGTGGATGGACGCGAACGACCGCCACGCCCCGGGGCAGAAGGGCTTCCGAGCGGTCAACGGCTGCGGGGAACACAACTTCCTCGCGGCCACGCTCGTCGACCAGGCCCGCCGCAAGCGCCGCCAGCTCTACGAAGTCTGGTACGACTTCCGCAACGCGTTCGGCAGCGTGCCGTTCGCGCTGCTATGGGATGCACTCGCGCGGCTCGGCGTCCCCGACGACTACGTCACCATGTGCAAGGGGCTCTACGAGAGCGCGGCGTTCGTCGTCGGGAACGCCGCCGACGGCACAACGGCCCCGATCTCGCTGCGGGTGGGAGTCTTCCAAGGCTGCCCGCTCAGCCCACAG